TGTGTGTGTGTGTGTGTGTGTGTGTGTGTGTGTGTGTGTGTGTGTGTTTTGGGCATCTAGGACACACATCAGCTCCTGCTGGCCCTCCAGCAGCAGAGCCCTGGCAGAGGAGAGTTTTCTAGCAGACAGGATCTCTTATTGCAGGAGAGAGTCACTCTGCAGGTATTAAAGCAAACGCGTGTTGTAAACATCTGTTAACCTTTCTGCTCCTCTCTGCCTCGCTGCCAAACGAGCAATCATTCCCTCCATTTGCACTTAACACAACAGATACTATAATTACACTCGTTTCATTCAAGCCATCGTCTGCTCTGTGATTGTTTCCCCATCCAGCTGCGCGCTGCGCGTTACGAGGTCTACGACATCTTCTTCAGCCTGTCAGCCGGAGAGAGGATGCAGCTGATCCGCTGGGACAGAGAGCTGGCCAAGGAGAGAGAGCTCAGACGACAGGTAACCTCACTGTCGATAGTGAAGCGATCACGTGATTGTGCACCACTGGGCAGAACTAAACACTACACAGACATATCAGACTAACGTGGTGTGTGTTTTTGCTTTTGTGCGTGTGTGTACTTGTTTAGAGTGGGAACGCAGGCCAGTCCAGAGGAAAGAGTTCTCTGTCAACTGCAACACAAAAGTCACTGGAGCGAAAGAGAGGAATGATGTGAGTCTTCACTGGATCAGTTCTATTTTCTTTAGATCTCTGCGTAGCTCAAGTGTTTTTATGTGTGCGACACAGTCACTTCTTCAGTCACAATACAGGATGACGGAATCTCTGCAGACTCTTTACCCCGATGAAGACATGCTTTCATCTTCAAACATTAGTTCTTAAATTAAAAGTTTGTGCTATAAGCGTGTGCTCCGGATCCCGCAGTCACAGTAGATGTGACACAAGTAGATTTTGCACATTTTTATTTTTTATTTGATCAAACATGTCTCAGAGGTTTCCAGTAATGTTGCATCCAGCTTGCAAAAGCACTATTCAGCTCAAATCTTTTAATGAAATGCAAATCTTGCACTCTAAGCTTTTTTTAATAAGCAGTATTTTTGTCAGTGGCTAAAACTCTCTTCCCTGCAGGATCCAGAAAAAGGCAGCAGAAAGGCACACGGGAGCTTTGACGAGGACCGGACACAATACTGGACTCTCTGCCGAGCAGCCGCCTGAAACCAAGCGAGGACAGTTCAGAGCAAATCCTCAGAGGGTCCCCAAGAGCACTTACTCCTCCAGACCCCGATGACACTTTCCTAATTGGCCCCAGTGAGGACTCCTAATAAGGTCTCTTGCGAGTACCTAAATATTGTATAACTATATTGTGCTTTTTACAATCTACAACCAGGGTATAATAGAGTGATGGCAGTTCCACTCTTCCACAACAGACTGGTTTCACAGTGAGTGGATGCTCGGGTTGGGATAAAACATCACCACAGCTGCTCTGTCACTAACGAGTCAGGTCTGCTTCCAGTAGTTTTCAGTAGTGACGGGTTGAGAGGTCGGCATGAAGTAAGCCACGGCCATGAGCCAGCAGGCACAATACCAAGACTCGGGAACCAAAATACCTAGTGGAATGCAGCCATGATTGAAGTTAATAATCACACCTCAAAATGTGTCCTGTGAAAAGGGTTTTGTTAATCGGAGTATTTGTTCAGCTGCTGGTGTTTTTCCATTTGTCTGATGTTAAATCTCTGCTTTGAGGATGGACTTGTGCCTCAAATTGATGTTCCCAGTTCATTGCCACCAAAAACAGACCATCTCCAGATGTATTGGCACATGTTAACTCTGTTAATATGATATTTACTGATTTCTTTGAAGGACGGAGGAGGAGTGCTCACTTTTACAGAAATGTTAATAGATCTCAGTGTTACTGCGAGTCTGCTGTCTTGACATGTAAACACATGTAAAAAAGTTTATTCTTACAGACTTTGGAACTGTTTTGTATGTTATTTATTTGTATGTTGATGCTAATAAATGTTTCTTAACTCTTGAAAGTCGCTCTGAAGTTTGTGAAAGCCCAGACTTAATTTAAAACAGTTATAGACTCCGACCAGCAGGGGGCGCTGCCGCCCGCCTGGTCTCTTTACACGGACAAACATCCCGGCTGTCGTTGGTCTCCGGGCGCAATGAGCAGTGTTTTGAATACATCGCTGTCTCTCAGCTGACTCGAAGCAAGATGGAAGAGGAGACAGACACCGCTGTTTCTTCGCGGACGGAGAGGAAGGCGTTGGAAAAGGCCAAAATACTTCAACGAGAGAGCGAGAGGAAGCTCTTCCGACTGGTGAGACGAGGCGACAACGCGCGTGGAGCCTGTTTATCCAGCTAGCCGGGGCTAGCTGGTTTAAGGAGCAGCTCGTCACTTTGTGCGTGTAGTTAACTCTTTGTTTCTCAGCCGGTGAGTCTGATCAGGTTGTTGTTTTGTTAACTGAAGGTCGGACGGGTCCTGAAGAAACCGGAGGCTGAGCGATCGGAGGAGGAGGCCGCCGTGTTGCTGCTGCACAGAGAAACTGTGGAGGAGCTCTGCAAGAGACAAGCCCGCAGGAATGTGCTCAAGAGGAAGCAGGAGGAGGTGAGACTGCTGGGTATTTAGCTAGGTGGGATGTCTATGACACTGCCCCCCTCTACAGCACATGGCCTCAAGGTTGAATGATAATGCAGGTTTGGGTCTGTGACTCTGGAGCAGTTGCATCTGGCTTGTGATGTGTGTTTGTGTTGTTTTAACCTTAAACATCTGTTGTTTCCTTGTGTTATCTGCAGGTGTATGATGATGCGGATAAGCTGAAGAGTAAAGTCAAGCAGCTGGCTGTGGCAGTCGAACAAGCGAAACACCTGGTGGTTTACACCGGAGCCGGTATCAGCACGGTACGCCTAACTCTACAGCTACAGCTTCCTTTTAAACCTTTCACAGGACTGATGATGTCTTTCCTTTTTCAGGCAGCTTCTATCCCGGACTACAGGGGCCCCAACGGGGTGTGGACACAGCTGCAGAAGGGCCGGACCATCGGGTGGGATATGTACCCTCGGCACTGTTTGGTTTTGGGCTCCCAAACTCCCAACCGCTGTTATTTGAATTGTTTCTCTTTACAAACAGTTCGTCTGACCTGAGTAAAGCTGAGCCGACCCTCACGCACATGTGCATTAGAATGCTTCATAAGGAAACGCTGGTATGTGAGCCCGAGATAAACGTACCGGTAGATGTTCCGCTGGTGTTCACGCATGCTGGTTTACTGTACTTTTGTGTGTCTTTAAAGGTAAAGCATGTTGTTTCTCAAAACTGTGATGGACTTCACGTGCGTAGCGGTCTACCCAGACATGCGCTGTCCGAGCTTCACGGAAACATGTTCATCGAGGTGAGACGCGCACATCCACGGACGTTATTGTTTCATAAACACATTGCTGTTACATGGAAATCGTCCACGAAACTAAACTGTTCTCCAAATAAAGTAAGTTACCCCGACGTGCTGTTTTTTTTGTTTCTTTTCATCCCGTCTCTAGGTGTGTACATCCTGTTCCCCGGTCAGGGAGTATGTCCGTTTGTTTGACGTGACGGAGCGGACGTCGCTGCACCGCCACGGGACAGGCCGCAGGTGCAGCCGCTGCGGCGGTGAACTCAGGGACACCATCGTGCACTTCGGGGAACGCGGGACCCTGGAGCAACCTCTCAACTGGAAGGGAGCTGCAGACGCTGCAGAGATGGCGGACGTTATCCTCTGCTTAGGCTCCAGTCTTAAAGTAGGTTTTATAAACCACGTTTAATCTGTCAGAGTCTTGTTTTCCTCAGGTTAATAAGAATATCCTTTAAATAACTTTATTGAAGTGTGAGTTGTTGTATTTTATATGAATTGTATTTGACTCTCTTCTGCTCTGTTTCTCGCTCGTCCAGGTGTTGAAGAAATACGCTTGTCTGTGGTGCATGAACAAACCAGCAAGCAAGAGGCCCAAACTCTACATCGTCAACCTCCAGGTACACGTAGTTTAGACGTTTTAGGTGAATACGATGCAAGTGAATTTGAATAAGATACTAATTAAGTGGTTTTGTTCTAGTGGACACCAAAAGATGATCTGGCAGTGCTAAAAATTCATGGCAAGTGTGATGATGTCATGAGCCTCCTTATGGCGGAGCTGGACGTTCAGATTCCTGTGTATCACCGGTAAGGACCTTTTAATGAAGTAATTACATCCAGTATACACACAGAATTAGCATTAAAATAGGCTGTTCTCATAGCAAAGGATACACACATGCAAGGCTTCTTTTAGAGGTGCCAGTAAAAGGAAAAAGGGGCGGGCACTAGTTTCATGCTTTACACAATACTTGGATTTTGGAATATCCCCACTACACACACACTCTCACAGAAAATAGAAAGGTTAGTGCAACGCTTTGACTCTAAGCTCGGTTTCCTTCATTTGGTCTCGTCAGGGCGGAGGACCCCGTCTTCAGTCTCGCCACATCTCTGCTGCAGGAAGAGGTCCAGAGCCACACCCGTGAGGTCATAGCTGCCCTCGATGGACAGGAGGTCTGCTCACCTGGACCTGGAGAGCAGGCAGCAGAAGCCACGGCTGTGCAGGGCGGCTGGTTTGGACGAGGCTATCGCAAAGGAAGGAAGAAGAAGAAAAAAGCTGCATAATCGAGGAAACTTTACAGACGCATTCGTATGTCCATATCCCATAAGGACGAGATGGACTTCAGGGTGCTGTTATGTATCATTTAGTCACATGCAGAGTGTGTGTGTGTGTGAGTGTGAGTGAAACACAAGTTTTGAGTATTTGTCATTTAAAAATGGCACTTTGCACCATGAACACATTTTGTGCAACATAAAGTGTGTGTCTTTGGTTATGCTGTTTTAGTAGTGCTCGGTATTGTCCCAGTGCAGAGCCGGCACAGCCAGTAAGACCAGTTTAAGTGACAAAAAAATAATGATTCTCACACCTTGTAGGCCCAGAAAGTGTCAGAGGTTTCCTCAAACAAAAGTGTAAAGAAGGTTTTGAAGCCACTCCTGCAGCATGATCGGTTCTTCTGTATGGCCAGGATGTCTACGAACTCTTGGTTTCAACAGTGTTAAGTTTTAGTAAGTCCAACATGCGGCTGTGTGAGCATCAGCTCGATGTAACTGGATTAAAACACTGGACAGTGAAAGTTACTGTATGAATGCTCATAACGAGGTATATCCTTCAGTGGAACACAGGTGACTTGGTGTTTACGTTTACTTCATATTTTTGATTTGGGTGCTGCCACAGATTTCACTGAGAAGAGATCTAAAGAGATGTCAAACCCGTTCTACATGTATTATAGTCGAATATATTTTTGTAGTCTTTTTCAGACGTTTACAACTCTCATTGTTGAATGTACCTTTTTTTTTTAACATGGCTTATTTGTGTTTATTTTAAAGATCTTTTGGTTTACTTAAATTATTTCCAGAAGTCGGTCAACCTTCACATCTGCTGTTGTGCGTTCTCAGGTTTGCAGGATAAGTAGTACAGTTATTAATGTACCGTGGTTACATTTGTTTACATTTTTATGTGAACTTTTATGCAGACGATGCAGAAACTCTGCTTCCGTCACATCTTTGTCTACAAAAGTATGAGAAGGAAATCTTCCTTCACTTAAATCATCACACGTTGTTGGTGTGTGTCGTGTTAAGTTACTGTTACGATGGTTAGAAACATGTATTATTCTGTCTCAGGTAAATCCAGTGTTATTAATAACCTGTACCGTGTAGTTTCAGAAGTTATTAAAGGCCAGTCTACCGTGAGCTATGATCAGCATTCCTTAAACTCAAACCAGAGGTTAAACTGGATGTGAAGAATCCTTGAAGTCAAAAAAAAAGATGCTATACTTGTGAGACAAAAGTCTCCTCGTGTGTGTCTGGATCATATGCAATTTAGTTGTACTGACCCTTTGCTTTAACTAGTGATGAATTAATATCAGTATTACTGTTGTAGTACACAGATTTGACTTCACAGTACTCTACCTCTTACCCTTACATTTTTATTTTTTAGAGTTGTGCTCGTGTGATGAGTTTGCCGGGCATTGTTTTTATTCAATTAAAATGGGATTTAAATGTATAATATAGTCTGGGTGATTTGTAAAAACATCTCTTAAATGAAAGACGTGTGATTTTTATGCTCGTGTGAGGTGAAGTTTGCAGATGACACGACCTTTATCGGCTGGATTACAAAGAACAATATGACTTCATGTGGAGAGGAAATCAATTTTGCAGAGTGGTGCTCAGAGTCCGTAAAACCTAAGAGCCGATGTCTGCGACAGCTGTACGGTCTCATTTTGCTTGCTTCCCCTCCATCTCCATCCCAGAGCATATTCTTCCTCCTCCTCTTCAGCTGCCGTCGCCTTCATCACTGGAGACTGTGTCCTCCTGAGGCGATCTGCCACTGAACGCTGAAACCATCAGTTTGCCGGCTGCCCTCCCACCAGCGGCGCCCAGCTTGTTGCTGGTTGTTCAAACCCGGATCAGCTGCACTTGACGGGAGTCAACGGGGCACCCTGCGGGTTTCCTCCAGCATCTCTCTGTGGCAGCACAGCAAACGGTGTGACCGGCACCCTGAGTCCGCTGCCCTTGTGGATTCACGTGGGCCGTGCCTACCGTCCCCGCGAGGATCGCCCCACCTTGCTGGAGAGCTCCGACTGGAATCAGCTGCTGCAGGGGAGCCTGACCTACTTGGTTTCCATCATGGTAATCATGTCCATGCCTAAGGCTACTTTTTGCTTTGTTACCTTACAGAGGGCCGGTATTATGTGGTGAACCGTAACCAGGTGTCAGTGACTTGCATTCTCAAAACCAATGTTGCAGTGGTCGTATTTTCATGTCATGGTGGCTCCAGGGAAATTGACCAATGACTAAAACACGGTATTAAAGCATAAACAGATGTTTCCCGAATGGGATCCACATAATCCACGAATATGATGCAATAACTTTATTTCAGGGCTTTCAAGGAAAGTTGTTATTACTGAACTATATGCTCTGTACGTCAGAGTGAAGTCCACTGCTATCCATAAAGCTTTAATTAGAGCTACAACAAAGCGTATATGCACTGACAAACATTTACAGCGTTTACCACTAAGATAAAAAACACAGTTATTGTTTTATACATTTCCCACTGAAAAAGGGTTCTTCACCGTCTGCACTGAATCCCTCCAACTTAGTCTAAATAAAAAAAACAGATCCAAAGCTTAGCCTGACGCAAAATAACAGCAATGACCACGAACACTTGCTCTATCAGGAGGTAGAGACGAGTTTCTTTCATCTGTTTCTGTCAGACGAGTCTCTTATGAGGTGCATGGAGGCTTCAAGCTGCTTGTGTAGTCGATGGAGGTCAAAAGGAAGCTCAGAATAGCAGGTTGGCATCCATATCATCTGTGGAGAAAACAGATAGCAGGTATTAATAGGATGGAAAATAAAGTATCTGCCATATGCTGTAGAATTGCATGAGAAAATAAACAAATATAAACAAATCACGGATAAAGTGGAGTTTTTACAGAATACCCATAACTGCTACGTACAGTATGTGATGGTACATTACTTTAATTGGATATTTATTGTCAGTCATTTTAAAACAAATAAAAATTAATATGAAATAAAAATAAATGATCCACATTCTCATTTAGGAATTTGATTAAAATAACAGGACACGGAAGTACAAAATGTCCCTTAATAGTTAAAAAACTTTTAGTGAAAAAGTCTTCAAATTCATAAGAGATATTTTATGTCACAGTTAAAGCCATCAATGCATAGAAAGGCGTACCACAGTATGTTGGTGACGTAGTGTTGCTCTTACCATTCTTGATACCAAAACAGGAAGTCCACTCTTTGAAGGACACCTGCTTGTCTTTGTCAGCGTCGCACTCTTGAAAGAAGCGGGAGGTGCAGTGCTCCATCGGCACCAGAGGGACTCGAAGCGGGGCCAGCTCTGAGTGGGACACGACTCTGCACAGGACGGACAAACACCCAGGTTTGATCACTGTGAGCGTCTAATCACATACAGTACAGTGTGTTTGCATTACCACAACACTCATGAATGAGTTTTATTATTTACCATGCCCAGTTCTGGCTGGGGATTTGTTAAATATTTGACATTAGCCAATCCTGTCGTTGGAAGCTTTCCACCTCACGCTATGATCAATTTTTAAATGTAATCTGAAAGTTGAGAAAAATCAAAGTTCACCGTAAGCGCAGAGGAATAAAATGTACCTGTCAGAAGGGTGTCGGTCCAGTTGTGCAAACTGCCAGTGCACCGGGTAGATGTACATGTTGTAGTTCTTCTCAAAGTCCTGCGCGAGCAGCTCAACAGAGTGATCGCCGGCATGAAGACGCCTCTCGCTCTCAAAGATTTTCTTCACCTGCAGAATACAGAACACCAAAGTTTGATCGACTGTGATCACCTAAAACATAAACTGTTAGCGATAATACATTTTATATAGGTTTTCCATAAGCTGCTGTGGGACTTTCTGATTCACCAGTGGACTGATTGATTGGATAAAAGTAACACAATAAATTGCAGAGAAATCATAGTACTTTAAAATCATAAAAGCCCAGAATCCCATATATTCATTTGAGCAGTGGGTCTTACTCTAAAACGCTGTTTAGGTGTGAGGAAGCCAGGAGACACGGAGTCGTGTTCAAAAAGCTGCAGCAGCACATTCTTCAGCCAATCCCTCATTCGTAGAGGGAACTGGACCAGCTCAGTGTCCACACATGGAGGTATCACTGAGAGAGAGACAGAGACGAAGATCAGGGTGAAATAATCCAACAGGAAATGTTTAAAACCATACACTCTGTACAGAGGTTAGCTCTCACGTTTGCATGGTCCAGTGTAGTCCAGATGAAGCCTGTGTCCTCTCTTTGTGCCCTCCAGGTTGCATTTAGTAGCAAAGAGTTCACATGATGTCTCATATGTTTTGTTGTTTGTTCCACAAACCTGCAGAAGTTGAACAACGAGCAACAATCAGATGTAGTGCAGCAGCTGTTGAACTCCAGTCCGGTCTATCTTTCAACAGATCATCCGTACTCACATGATCGAACTCATTCACACCGGGAGGACATGCTGACGGCTCTTGACACGCGCAGCTCGGCTTATTGTCCGCATCGAGCTTACACGTCTTTCCACGTTTGCAGGGAAAGTCGTCACATGGATCTAGTAGAAAAAAACATGCACTGCAATGACCTTTGACCTATATACTTTGTCTGAATTTTAAAACCAGTTGTATCGGGAATCATTTTCAGGACTGGTTTGGTCTTATTTTGCAGTACGGTGAGCTGTAACCACAACACACCATCGCTGACATTCCTCTGCCATCTGAGTTTATACAGCGATCAAATTCAACTTGATCTCCATTGTACAAACCTCAAGCTGTGTTTTGGTAGTGACCATGACGCAGAGTGACACTAGTCATGCGGAAGTTTTAGCTAAATGACCCAGTCAGCAGATTGCCGTGTGAGGCTGTTGGGATAGTGCGTTAGTCAGTACGGTGAGTGCTGAATTAACCAACCAGCAGGGGCTTCTGGGCGATGTGCGCCTCCACCAACAGAGGTCCTGGAGCTGGGGTAGAGATCCACTGTGGCTCTGATCTGCACTGGATTCATTCCTACTAAAGGACCCTAGAAAAGAAACATGGAAAAGAGATATTTCTTCAGATATTAAAATGAGCCAACAGCTGCCTGCTGCTACCAAACGTTGCTATGAGGAGCGATGAGAGTGAACAGTTGAGGCCTTTTGCAAGTAGTGAAGTGATCCATTATAAGTCAGGAATATTGATCATAGCCCCTGAAAAGAAAGTGAATGCATTACCCATTGTCCTGCTCTTCTCCTCTTTTCCTTTTGGACTGTATTGTCAATACTGCTGCCCTCAGACGCCTGAGGAACCTGTTGGCTCTGTTCTGGTCCAGACTGTGTTTCCTCAGTCTGTGGGGAGTGCTTCCTCGCCCTCTTGTTCTTCTTTTGCTTCCTTGTTTTTCCCTTGGTGAGACTTCCGCTGTCATTCTTACTTTTCTCTTCCTCCTTTCCAGCCGGTTCAGAACCTGATTCAAACCCTGTACTTCTCTTTGGTTCTTGAGGGTCCACATTTGCTTCAGGTCTTTTCTCATCAACATCTTTGGATTTGACCTGAGAATCTTTGTCCTTGTCCTGATCAGACACTTCCTCACTGTCCACTGCCTCAGTGTTTTGTGTGTCTTGTTCGTAGTCATCTGCAATGGTGGGCAGTCCTTTCTGAAGGGGTTCCCTCTCTTTAACATCTGTTTGGGGTTTTATTTTAGCAGATACAATCTGTAGAGGTTGTGAGATGCCACCATCAGCAGCATAGTCAAGATCAACGGGGATCTCTGACTCTGTGCTTCCATCTGTTTCCTCCATCAATGAACCTTGCTCCTCTCTGTCTGCTACTTTTACGACAGACTTTTCCACCTTTTCCTTGACTGACGTATTTTCCACCTCATCTTCGCCTTTCTGCAGCATTTCAGTATCCTCTACACTCTCATCCTTTACTTCTTCTTCTTCCTCATCTGTCACCTCCGTTTCTAATTTGTCGTCCAACTTCCTCTCCTTCACCTCAGCTTCGTCGTCCTCCACGGCCTCACCAGGCTGCACTTTGCCTTTGTCCGTCTCCACTTCTTTTTCTTCCTCTAGCACTCTTTTTTCTGCTTCCTGCTCTTCTTCTGCTTCTTTCTTCAAAAAGTCCACCAACTCCTCCTCACTTAGCAGGACTGCAGTGCTTTTGTCTCTCCCTTCAGTCTCCTCAAACTCTCCCTCCTCCTTGTTTGCATCAGCATTGTCTTGGGAGCTCAGTTCTTCATCTTCCTGCTCCTGGCTGCTGGCCTCAAACGTGACGAGAGTGGGTAAGATCTGTGGCTCGTTGGCCTCCTCTGTGATAATGTCCTTATTCGGGAGAAAAGAAAAAAATCCCATTTTACGACATGAAATCATCATCAAGTACATTTAAAAAAAAAAAATGTTTTTAGAGTCCTGCTCTACCTTTTCTTTGGCTTCATGTGAAGTCTTATGCAATCCATGATGTTTTCCATGAGGTTTGCTCTTTACCTAGATGTAATAGGGATAATTCATAATGCATTGAACAAATCTCACATCACATCATCTGTCATGGCAAATGTCAAATAAAAAAAAACATTACTCACAGACGGGGCAAATGTTGCTGCCAGTAAGCAAAGGAATACGAAGCAGGCCCTCATACCTGGAACATTGAAAGGAATACTTTAAACACGGGACAAAAACAACAAAACAAATTTGAATTACACGTTTAAATTACTGTGAATCACAGCAGAGCTGCAATTTGCAAAAACTGATTTAAGATCATCGCAGTATAATCTGACTTCTCACAACACGGACGTGAACTTGGCAAATCTTTCAAAGCTGAAACAGACGAGTGCGTCTGTGTTGCTGCCGACACTGCTGTCACGGTCACAGGCCTGTGAGATGCGCCTCGAAAGTAAACATCAGAAGCTACCAGACTGGAAAAAAGTTGACTAAGTCCACAAACGTTTTGTCTCTGTGGACAGAAACAAAACAGACACTACTGGGCCTGCCCGGGGGAACAATAGCTCTCTGGTTTGGCCCACTGAACCCCAAATAGGTGTAGACGGGTGGGGGGGGGGGGGGTTGAAGGGGTTTGATCTTTTCAATATTCAGGCAATATTAGACTTTTATACTTCATTGTCCCCAAGAGGAAAATTATCTCCACAGTGCTGTTGTGATGACATATTCACTTTTCATCTCTGATATAACGCCCATCTTACATGATTGTCGTAAATGTATCCTGCACGCTATTCAATAAAGGAATATTTGATCTATTTGAGGATATTTGACTATACTATAAAATATATGTTGGTATATAGATTATGCACAGCTGAGTACGCAACATTTAAATGTGTCTATATTACCTCCTGTATATTACATCACAGTGTAGAGAGACTATTAACAGTCAAAATCTCTTGATATGTACAAAAATAATTAAGGCATCAAAGTAAAGTTTTGGCTATCACCAGAGAGGCTGCAACATAACCATGCCACAACACACAACTAGTTTGATTGTGAACTAGTTAGTCAACACAATGTCACACACATTTCTATTTGATCATTAACTAATTACCTTTCAAAGCAATAGAAAAGTCTCAGTAATTAGGATCTCACCTGAGGCTGGCAGTTGCAAGAGAAATAACGAGCTTAGTCAGTGTTGAACCTGTGAAGGTGTCCTTCTGCATTCGAGACAGCGCTCACACTGTCTACACAGACTGGCATGCTGCTGCACACACAGATTTCTTTCTGGGTCGATGGTGCCAACACTTTTTCTCAACTTTGGGAGGGTCTTTGAGCTACAGAGATAACGAGAGAGGGGAGGGAAAGAGATCCAACGCTGCACTTCATTTGGGTTCTTTGTTTCCCAAAAAGAAAGTCAGGAAAAAAGGTGAAACTCTAGAGTCAGAAAACAGCAGAAGAATCACCCCGTATGTTGATCTTGTGGGTGAATTGTAGTTACACTTATTTTATATATTATTTCTTGACTTGAGAAGAGATTTGGTGAGGTGACATTTTATTGTATTTAGGTGGTAAATTACTAACACTGTTACAATTACCTGTTTACAGTAAAACACTTTTACCGTGATTGTGCTTTACAGTATAACTGCTATATTGTTTGACAGTATGATACTGAAATAGTGTTTTATAGTACAATACTGTAACTTACACACACATCTCACACCACACTCCCAGTGCAGCCACACTGCCTGCACTGTCTATATTTAGATGTGAAATACAGAGCTGGTAAACCAGATCATTGTTCCACAAACTGAGACAGGACATGCTTAATTACATACATGAGAGTCACTTTGGGATTGAAAACTACAGGAGGAGAGCGAGGGATCTGTTCCTTTGTTCAGAAACGTCCAGAGAAATAACAGAGAGATGGTTCACAGATCAGCAAACAGAAGGGCACAAGCTACTGCAACCACACAGTGTACCTGAGCGTCCGTGGGAGAAAATCAGTGTACCTCTTCTGTCTGGTTATTGCACAATACCCATACGGCAGCATTTAGAGTTAACCATATCAAATTACTAATTTGTGTTTTTGTTAACTTGTGAATGTATTAATAAGTGTGTTGTGTGTAGTTTGTTTATGACGGAGTGAAACTAAACCAGTGAAACCTGTCTGATGAAAGATAGTTTCAGAACAGAAATAACATCATTGTGGTCACTAGATGTCACTCTTTCACTGTGATCCTGACGCCACTAATATGACAAGTGTTGAACAACAGTAGCATACCACTCTAGGGATAGGTATCTACCGCTGAACATCGGTTCACACGTCTTTAGGGATAGGTACCTACTGCTGAACATCGGTTCATACCCCTTTAGGGATAGGTACCTACCGCTGAACAACAGTAGCATACCCCTTTAGGGATAGGTACCTACCGCTGAACAACAGTAGCATACCATCAGCCACTTTTCGATCTCGGCACTACTGGTCTGGGGTTATCCTCATGAGTTCAGTTAAGCCGGTCATTAAAGATTTTTTGATTTTATTAGTTTTTTTCTCAACATGCAGTACATTGTGAGTTTTGTGATGTAATACAAATGTCCCTTTATTATTTGTCTTGAGAACATGTATTCAACTGCAACAATTATGTATTGAATGTCTATTGTGATTCTTTTATTTGTTGGGAATTAAATGCAAAAGTATTGGGTTGTATTACCCTTTGTAAATAAACTAACATTCCGGCATATAATGTAAAATCACCATAAAACACGCCAACATTTGGTATATTCATCTGTATTCTTGAAGAACAGTACATTAGTCTAGACTTTCCCATTTTTTTACAACAATTTGTTCCAGTGCAACCAAAGGCCAAAACACACTTCTGAATGGAAGGTGACTTTAATAATAACCTCGTAACATAATGCCTTGTTGAAAGCAGCGAGGCAGTTACAGAACAGCTGGAGGAGTTCAACAGAGCAGGAGGAGGCTAATGTTGAGATTGAGGGAGAACCAGACGGCAATAACTCATTCACACTGATTTAGTCATTGACAGTTTCAATACACAGTTCAGCTGAGGAGTGAGCGTCGGGCCTCATTACTGAATGACGGGGTGTTTAGCTGACGTGACTTCAAGCTGACCACAGCCGCACCTCTCTGTGAAGGAGGAAACCGTCAACTTTTAAGATCCAGTCAATCCTGTTAAGTTGAACGTTTCAAGGTCACACTTTAGGTTTTTGCGTACAGCGTCACTGGGATTTAAAAGTAAAACATCCCTGAAAAGTGCCGTTTGTCATTTTGGTGCAAGCCGTCCTCCACGGGACAGAAGCCCAGTTCTGCAGCAGCTGGTGGACATTTGGTGACAGTTGTGTTTTCTGGCTAGCATGCACGCAGGGAGTAACAAAGAGGGAGCAGAGATAAAACACCGTAGTCCTAAATACAAAGGTGAAAAAATAGATATTACTTAGACTCACTGTCTATTGATGGAGACAGTAAGTCTCTCTCACACACTTTGATGACCTGTGTAGCTCACTGATCTTTAAACTGTTTTCAATTCATAAGGGAAATTTAGCCATTTCAAAGGAGCACACGCAGTCTTTCCTTGTATGTCGGTACAGTAAACCAAAGCCGACATACTTTGCCCACTTTCTGAGCAATTTGCACAAGTAATTGATGAAATTAATGTCCAAATAAAATACATATTTGAAAACGAAGTTATTACAAAATTGTCATAAATAAGAAAAACGGTCTAACTTTCTTATAAAACAAGTTAGAATTGAAACTAAGAATTACAATGAATGGTTCCACACTTTGCTACCGAGCCATCGCATACAGCAGCGGCCGATCACAGTATCTGTTTTGTCTTTCTACTCATGAGAATTGAACCGATTCATAGAACATCTCTGGAATGCAGCTAATTGAATTTGTTTCAGTAAGAATCATTTATGCTTTGACCTCAGCATGAGGCACATCACAGTTCCTATAACTTGTTGAGATTCTCCTTTCAGATTGAGAGCTCTGAAAAACAATATCTTTGTTCTCAAAGGGAAGACCTGTCACAGAAATGTGAAACGGTGCAGACGAGACAGTTATGAAATGGTCCCCGGCCGACAGTTTAAGGAACAGCCAGAGATTAAGTCAAGGTTAGACCAACACACACAATCTGATATTAGCCAGTAAGTATGATCCTACTTTTACATATAAATGATAAACATATTCAGCATTGTATACCATCAGCCGTTTAAAAAAACACGTGTAGCTACTTCAGCTGCTTGCTGTGTGACCGCTGGTGGAATTTAAGCCCCCCACAGTTTCTGAAGGACTTCCCACATTGTCCGCAGATGTACGGCTTCTCCCCGGTGTGGATGCGGAAGTGCCTGGTTAACGCCCCCGAGTGACGGAAACACTTGGAGCAGACCGAGCAGGTGTACGGCCTCTCTCCTGTGTGGATGCGAAGGTGAGTCTTGAGGTTCTCCATGCGGTTGAACTCTCGGTTGCACACGGTGCAGAGGAAGGGGCTGCAGCCCGGCGGGTACAGCTGCAGCCTGGTCCTCTTGCTTCCGTCTACGGGCTGCTGACAGCACTGCTGGAGCTTCTGCTGGCACTGGCCGTAGTGCCGCCGCAGCAAACTGGGCAGGTGGAACGTCTGGCCGCAGGACTTGCAGGCGTAGAGGTTGGTTAAGGTGTGGCCGAGGTTGCGGCCGGTCCGCATGTGGACTCCATAAGCCGGTGGAGGTTCTTCTAGGATGGGAGCTGGTTCGTCCGACTGGAAGATGTTTGGGAAGTCTGAGAAGAGGGATGGATCTGTTATCCGTCATGTGGGGGTTAAACTGAACAACATTTTTCATCTTAAAGCCATTTACATTTATAAACAGAGGATTTTGTTGGCAAGTTTTAACATTTTCATCAATGTTTTACGTTACAGATCATCTTCAACATGGCAGATGAGTCCACTTTTTTGTATACATCAGCCATAAGAATACAGAGATATTTCTTGGAAGCTTTTATCAAATCATTTGATGGTTTGACTGCATTCACAATATTATGAGAATACATTGACGTTGAGCAGCCAAATTGGAAGTCCAGATGTTGAACTTTAGCAGATGACTGTCACATGACTATCATGCAAAGTGGCGGATTTCATATTGTTTGTAGAACTGATCAATACTACCAAAGCAACCAATGGAAAGGCCTCGGACTGAATTACGTTTGATCAAATTCCACCTTGGTGGAGGTATCTTTTATTGTAAGTGCCCTGAGGTCTAGATGCTGTTTCAGAGAGGGAACACTGGGCACTTATTATGCTTTCATTCTTACCCTGAGCCAGCCTGGTGCAGGACAGAGAAGCGGTTGAGTCTTGGCACTGAATGTCCAGCACTTCTGGTTTCCACTCTTCCAGCACTTTGGACTGGACCGCTGTCATACACTCCGGGCTAAAATCCTCCACTTTCATCAAGTCTAAACAGCCGGCTAAACCATCTCCCTCCTCCTCTGGCTTCTCCTGCTTGACAATAAACTGCTTTAAAGTGGACTCGCATTCCCCGTTGGGAAGTGTTGGCGAGTCGCGTTCTTGAGCTGCCAGTTCTGTACACGGCTGGTTGATGCCGGCTACCCTCACCTCACACAGACGAGAGATCTCTTCACTGACTTCTGGAAACAAAAAGATCACAGGTACACACAGTGAGCAAGTTAACATCATACATTATTAATAATAAAATATGTATATTCTATAAATTGTCTGGTGAAATATTCATTCAACAGATAATTGAACACATTTTCTGTGAATGCCATACATTTGTATTTAGATAAGTGTACATGAATCAAGTTACTTTAAGGATTAACTAAATGTGACCGTGCTGTAAGAGAACAATGATCCCAAAGACATCATAGGTGCTTAAGACCGTTTTAAAAATAAACTAAAATCAAAGGATTTAGACACGTTTGTGGTTTTCAGTGGGTGTTAAATACCACGTTGTATAGTGGATTTTTGTTACAATAGTAAATGTATACAAGTAGCCCTCACAAGCATTAAACAGATATCTCATCCTTCACATTAGCTTCTAGATAAAGAAATGAAGGGGAGCCGTTTGCAGTTGGAATTAGCAAGTGTTGAATGCCAAATGTGTGAAAACAGTCAGCACCGTTTATGAACAGTGTCCGTGCACACTTACCATTTGAGAAAGAATATATATTCTACTTTATACGGACCTAAAAGGTATGAAGAAAGTGGTCGAACGGGAAATACTCAAGTGCTAGGCCCACGCACCTTTAGTCAAGGCATCACAAGCACCAGCACATCCATCGTCTCCGTCACGTTGAGTCTTCATACCGTCGCCTGATCTCTGCTCCTCGTGTTGGGAGTCAGGAGACGGGTGCGCACGGCTGTGACCTGGAGGAGGAGAGTCTCCTCTGGGGCTTTCCCGACAGTGCTTAAAGAGATGCGGGTGCTCCGCACGGTCGTCCAGGACGTGATTCGTAAAAGGAGAGCCGCCTCCTCTTTCCTCCATGCGCGCGGAGTCCAGCATCTCTTCAGCCCTCTGCAGTCTTTGTTTGAGGGACTCGTTCTGCCGTCGCATCTCTCCGTAGACGGCTCCCGTTGCCTGACCCACAAGCTTCGTCACCTCTCGAACTGCGACCTCCACAGCCACTTCAAACGCTCCATGTATCGCTGCAGCGAGCTCCTCTTCCAGAGACAGCGCAGCCTCAGCTCTGGCTGCTTTCGGGCGCTTGTTGGTCTCAGCCAGCTGCGGCTTCATGGTGCATTTAAGAAAGGCACTTCGGCTCCGCGCTATGACTTGTTATTTAGAAAACTCCCAACAGGACAACAGGATATCGCAGCTATGGATGCCCTGTGGCAGGCAGCCCGTTTATAAGCAGAGAGAGGTTTCACTTCCGCCGACAGCTTCTGACACCTAGTGGCGTAGAGGCTGAACTGCACCAGTCAAAAAAAGACAACCCGACAATTAAATTGAGAAACTCAAAGTTTATTGTGTTAAAAACATCCGACCAGGTTCAACTGGCACTTTTAACAGCATGCATACTGGCGTTAACACTCGTGCACGATGCTTTCAGGGGCTCGTCCATCAGCGACGGGTTTTATAATCGTCCAAGTGGGAGAGTATCCACCCAGCAGGCCCGAGGATGGTCAAAGTCATCACGGTCAGCACGAACATGGTTTGCTGCAGGACAGGGCCATGTTACTTCAAGTTTATTCAGAATACGTTTAAGGGTCTTAAATTCAAGACATTCTGCAGCTTCTGGAAAACTTAACAGGACTGATTTGTAAACCTACCGCCGGGCCAATCTTATCTTTAGGTGGTTTTCCGCGGATATAACTTGCTCTTTGTTGGATCATCACACCTGGTCTGTGAGCAAGAGCCCGTCTAGCCCCCAGCAGTCCAGCAAAAAGCCCACTCATGTTGGCTGTAAAAGACAAAGGCCCGTATTTCTGCTCCTGAGACAAGAGGAATGAGTGGAAGTCGGAGAGGGGGGGGGGAAGTCGGATCGCCACGCGCTTTAAAGTGTCCTGCAACACACCTGTTAATTAGTTCACTGTTAATTAAGTGGCCTTCAGGAGCTAAAGGAAGAAACATAAAAAAGCTGTGATGAGTTCAGGGTCCATGTGTGGAGTACTGAGTGAAAGCTCTTCTCGTAGGCACAGCTAACAGTTCTTGTTCTTACAACAGTTTCGAGCATTAGGCCTTTGTTTATGGGAGTTATTTTGAATGATTAGTGCGTCACCCTTTTGTATTACACTCACTCAGAGCTGCAAGTTGTCATGAGTTTCAATTTTCATTGTTTTTAAATTAAAAAAGAAAAAGTCAAACTGTCAGAAGTTGGAATTGCTCATTTGATTTATGTTGATTGTCTCAGTCTATTTTTTGTATTTTGTTTTTCTTGGTAATTTTTACAGATTTATAATAAACATGACAGTGATAAACTCCCTGGGATGCTGACCAGCAGCATCTATGGACATGGTAAAAGAGCAGAGAGGCAGCTATTTCTGTAGTTTGTAAAAGGCTTATTTTATTATACCAGAGGTCCAATAATGTCGACAGAAGCATTGTGTTGTTAAAGTGCATCAGTAACGCTCCTGCCACTATATGTCACCTTGTGTCACAGCTCTCAAGATTATAGAGAGAGCCCCAAATGGATTAATTCTATCGTTCTATAGTTAACTCTAACTTTAATCCATCATTTGCAGTAACTATGTCTGAAACTACATTCAGCGTACAGTCTGCAGGTCTACCTAAAAAAAAGAACATATGGGTCCTCACCCTACCACAGATGGGAGGACAATGGCGCCCCTTGGTGGCCAATCATTATACAACATGATCCATTGATACTGAAATCTATTCATCATTCATACATTTACATCAAGAACCCATGGTGGATAAACAGAGATCTACAAAAGCTTTTATGTTTCAGCAGACCTCTGGATGACTCTGAGGTTATGTTTGGGGCTATTAGCCTTCAGTAGTGAACAGACTTGGTGAAAGGGGAATCAACAATAGAACAGTCAACAGAAGCACATGCGTAATATTCACTTTTAGTAAAAGCACTGCAGGTTGGTGCTGTGTATAGATCTATAACCTGCTCTATAATGTCTCCTTTCAAGGACTTGTTGGCTGTTTTTTCCCTTTTCTTTTCAAACTGATTATTGTTATGAGGCGAGCGCATCGACACTGACGTCATTAATGGATTACTCTTTGATTATTCCTTCACTTACTCGTGCAGAGCTACGCGCGCCAATGACGCGCGGGTTGGAAGTGGGTCGGCTCGGCATTAGTGCGTGTGAAGGTTGTCCGTCTGCTGTTGGCGCACGGTTACAGTTTGTCTCGTTCAAACTACAGAGGGGAAGGTAAGCACTTTTATCATACTACATTATACCGTTGTTTAAAATAATTTGTAGGTTTTTCCTTTACTGTATACATATTTGTAGATTATTGTAGACGTGTTTTTATAGACATCTGTAAACAAAATCCACCAGGATACTACATGGAATAGAGACACTTCTAATATTTTAATATGACAAAAAAACTGAAAAATACTAGCAAAAACATGTGAAGCATAAGGTTGACTTAGCTTAAACAGAGCGACATCTGGTTTCCATCCATATTCCTTGCACATCAACCGTGTCCAGTTTTAAACCAGTATCTCTAAAAAGGGAAATTATATTTCATATCGTTGTGTTTGAGGCTTTTCGTTGGACAACACAAAGAAATATGCTTACGTTAACTTGGGATTTGGAAAACAGTGATGGATATTTTCACCTATTTTATTACATTTTATGGCCCAAAATTGAGAAAATAGCTGACAGCTTGGTTGGAAGAATAATAGGATAAGACTTTATCAGAGAAAGGTAACTGGGTTTTTGGCTGCAGCCATGGAAATGTGTCTGCTGGCTGAAGGCTTGAGCTTTACTTGGCTGTGATCTCATTAGTTTGACCAATTTGGTCTCTCTTTATCTCCCCCTTCAGCCTACCTTCCCGTCAGCCGCCTTCCCCCCTGCTATTGTCCTCTTATCCTTGTATCACCACCTGGAAGCTCTGCATCCCCCGCAACATGGCAGAGGCCCCAGCATCCACCTCCTCTGAGGATGGGCTGCCAGTGCAGTGGAAACGTTCCAAACAGCGAAGCAGGAAGTCTGGATGCTCCAACATCTTTACAGGGGTCAACCTGCACCAGCTGCACAGGCTGTTCAGAACAGCAGGAGACAGAGACGCTGAACATCGGGCGAAGCTGGTGTGGCGAGGGATGGATGCAGAAACGCAGAGGCCAGAGGAGGCCAAGGAGGAGGAAGGGGAGGACATGGGGGAAGAGGCAGGGCTGGCCCAGGCCTTGGTGGGCCTCCGGGTGCGAGCGAGGAATAAAGCGGGTACCAGAGCAGAGGGATACAGAGACCACAAGTGGCTCAGAGGATCAGGGTATCTCAGGTAAGTGACGGGGTCAAATGGCAGGAGGCCAGCGAAAAGTAAAGAAAGGATGTGAAAAGTGATATGCAGACGAGGAGTTAAAAGGAAAATGAGTCATCGTATTTGCAGAGTTTTTACTCATTTTCATTTTATGTAGCTATGTTTAAATAAATCACTTGAACTCACTTGAAAGTGTTCAAGGTCCAGTTTTACTTGATTCCAGACGACCTCTACGTCTTGAAATGCAGCGTGTAAATTGTCATGTTGCTAACAAACTCAGCATGACTGTCTCCAGCCCCCACCCCTACCCCCCCACACACACACACTCACACTGTGTCATGCTTTGCTTTCGACATTCCTCACTGGGGCAAAATTAGATTTGTTGGGTAATGAGGTGCCACAGTATGGCGAAATGGTGGTGTGAGTACAGGGCGGCGTAGTAATCACAAAATGGTAAACTGTAGCAGTTTGTTAGCTAAGCTAGCGGCATGATGGCTCAAAAGATGGACATGTTGGTGTGTTGGTTCAGTGGGCCACCACTTTGGTCCAGTTTGAAATATCTCAACAATTATAATTCCCATGACATTCGATGCAGACCTTCATGTTTCCCTCAGGAAGAACGTTGGTGATCCCCTGCTGCATCTTTTCATCTGTACAAATACCTGCAAAACTAATGACATTCCCAGTAGCCTCAATTGTACTTTGTGCTCATTGCTTAATAGCAAATGTTGCATGGTGACACTATGGACTAAGATTGTGAACATGGGAACATTAAACTCTGTCGACATCAGCATTTTAACAGCCTAAATGTGAGCAGCATGCTGATGTTAGTAAACTTTTAATCTTGTCTGACACTATGGGTTCAAAATCACCTAACTTCACTTTTACTGCATAATGCTAAACGTTTGAATATATAGTAGATTTTTGTCTCACGTGTCTAAAGTGACATTGCTAGGCATGCTACACACAACATCTACTTCAGTTGCTGAATGTCATTCATACCAGAGTAGCAATTTAGATTATGTTAGTTTGATGTTTATTAGATCAAAAGTTTATAATTTACACCACCTGAATTCATGCATTAACAAATCAACGACAGTATTTTTTGTGGGAAAGTATTGGTATAAAAAGCTCAGAATAATATGTACTGGAGGCCTGTAAGAGTTCAACCAAACCAGAGTTACATCTCTGTCTTCCAGGATTGAGGAGCCATTACCCAGCTACACTGTTGAGGCCGAGGAGGCCGACGTAGCGCCGACTTCGGGAGAATTTCTGCCGGCGACTGAGGAAGACATCCCAGAGGACCAAAACCCCTTTAAATCTTCCTCACGGAGGTTGTGTGTGGCAAGACAGGAGGGTGCCAGACACTCTGAGCGCTACCTTCACCGCATCCTCCACTAACAACGGTCTGAACAATCATTTGGAACAACACACAGTAGTGGAAGCTGGAATACTAAATGTATCCTGCATTGACAGGCAGCTGTCAGCCCCTTCTGCCAACATGTACTCTACATGTTAGACCCCAGCATAAAGAAATACCAGTGCACTGTGGTAAATCTGGGGATTAGTGCAACTACTATGGAAAATGCAAATGTCTACGGTGATTAACACAACAGCAGAATCAAAGCAGCAGCATTTGCAGGAGACAGACGAACAGAAACGAGCTGTTGTGGCCTGAAATTGAATTTCCGATGTGCATGAGAACAATGCATTTTTGAGGGCACACCAATTATTATCTGGGCAGTTGGTGTACTTGTGATATATTATCACAGTAAACAGGGCAGGATATTGTGACACTGCATCAAGAGCCCTTTATGAGCATCTGTATCCTGTTTTGTGTTTTTATGTCTTAATACTGAAATAAACGTCTAAATAAAGATGCCGTTAATCGGATTGTTTTAAAAACTTTTCTTGGCCACTTGGGGCAGTGGAAACAAGGGGTTAACACAAAACTGACAACTTTTAAGTTGATACGGCATCAGGAGTTTCTGACCACTTACGAATGTATGAGGAAATATCTGACCAGCTAGCTGGCTTGGTTCTGAGCAGCTCGTTCAGTGGAGCTTTTTGAGATTTTCTTGCTCAAATGAGGATGAGAACAAAACAGTAATGACGCAGATTGATAAAACCAAAACAATGACTTGAAAGACACTGAAACGCTGAGTAGAGCAGAAGGGAACCAGAGTCAGACTGATGACGTGTTCGGCCATTAGCGTACGATTGTTGGACTATAACGACTCTAAAATGAGCTGCAGTGCTCATCAATAGAACACAGTGACCGGCTTTTTACATTCACAAACACACAAACGATCTGTGTTAATGGAATATGTTTTAATTATAATCTATCATTAAATATTACATACAAATTATACAGTGCATTGTCACGATACATTTCATGTCACTTCAGTACAGCAGGAAGTCTTTTTGTTCTTCACTTAGGTCCAAACCCACCAGCCAGAAGATGAACAGAAATCAACACGGGAGCTTGTGAAGTGGGAATCACCAACCACCACCACCACCCCTCCCCTCCCCCTGACTGCTTGCACGTGGGATCATTTTGTCTTCTTCACCAATGATTTAACTCATCAGTGGAAGAAGGACAAATTAGGCAAGCCAGTGATATTTATCTCAGCTTAACAAACATTGTGTGTCTTTCACCAAAAGTGCCTGCTGTCCAACATCTCTTCAGATCCTATTCTAAACAGTTATGTGGCGCAATGAGTGACTGTGAAACCAGCTCAGGTGGCTTGTGTTCACTGTGTGAAGACACACACACCACACCACTGAGAGCCCAGTTCCTAAATCGTCAAGACTTAATCACAATGAACACTTCTCTTATTTGTTAAAAATAAAATAAAAAAAAGCTGATTTTCCCCAGTGGCACCACTGCGTTCACCAGCCCAGGGTTTAACTGCGTGGGAGGAAATATGCAGGGGAAGGTTAAAAGGCAGAGAGGTATGAAGACAAATTAAACATGGAATGCAACACCAATTCAAAAACAGAGCACGAGGGGCTTTTGACTGGTGTGCATGTGCACCAAGGAGTCCAAAAGAAAAGTCTTGACACCTCACTGAAATGCTCTCTCGCAGGAAGGTACAGAGTCCTCATCATGTAGGCGTTAACTCTTCATTGACACCCATGCAAGGCACAGAAGTAAACAGGAAAAATATGCTGCAAAATTCTTCCTCTTTTGGCTTCATCTCTCCACCCGCTCACTCTCTGTAACCAAAATATTCACGAGGAGAGGACGGGAGGGTGATAATTACTTCCATTTCCAGGACAAAAAACGCTCAGATTCTGCCCCGTCTTCCATCCGCACATCGACACTCCTCGCTCCTTCTTCCTGCTGTTCCTCCTCTTCCTCTTCACTGCATTGCTCCTACCACCAGGTAAAGAAGGGTCTTCTGCTCTGGAAACTCTGTGTGTAGGACTCACTGTTGGCTCTCTGAGGTGCTCTGGCTGTTTCGACGATTACCGGGGGCATCTGGACCAACTGCAGGGGTGTTTTACCGTCCTTCAGGGCTTGGCACAGGTTCAGGATCTTGGAATGAAAAGGAGAAAGATAAAAGTGTGTTTAAAAAAAACAAAGACACTTTGGTGAATTTATGCTTTAAAAGCAAAGAGGTCCGTTCAAGGAGGAACAGTTAGTTGTACGTCAAACTGCTGAAAACTGTGTTTTGAGAAGAGAGTGGAGAACTCACCTGACCCCTCATGACGGCTACTTGTTTGTGAAACTGTCCTCTGTCAAAACCAGGGTCTTTCTGTGAGACACAGAAGACAACACACACATATGTCACACAAAACGTTTACAGCCACAGAACTGATATTTTGATGCCTGCGTCCATTTCGCAGACATATTCTCACATTCCATACACTTACATTATTACCACTTCATTCTGGACAGAACATGTTGCCGAGTACCTAATCTGAGTCCCTGCATACCTTGAATAATTCGTACAAATCCTCCTCCAGGTCTTTGATGAAATTCGGGTCAGAGAGCTTGGGCAGGACCAGCTCTCTGATTTCCAGGGAGAAAGGAACTTTGGCCTGGGAAAGCCACGCCCAGTAGAACGGGTCTGGTGGTTGGAAAATGAAACGCAATAAAAAAGATAATGTGAGAAATGGAGAATATATAGCTTTCACTGGACACGCTGCTGAGACGGAAGTTGCCGTTTCTTCAAAAGCATGACTTCCTCCCTGCAGAAGGTAAGCAGTGATTGGTTAAAACCAATTTCGACGTAGGTGCTTACAGGCTCTCCAGGAGTCGGGGTGTTTGAGGGGGAAGGCGAGGCCGTTGTCTATAGCTGCCAGCTTGATGATGGGATCCTTTACTACCACCCAGTCTGTGTCCTACATAAAGACACAGGGATACAACAAACACATATCCAGTCTTTGGCGGTCAGCATTTTAGAAAATGACCTTAGAGACTCCAACTGTGTCTGTGTGTCCTCACCCTATTCCCAGGATCCATAGGACAGTCATGCTTCAGCAACCAGTTGTCGTTCCCTCGGTCTAGATTACCAAGGACAACAACAACAACACATGTTCTAAAAAACAAGTTAACTTTGCCGAGTGTATGGCCTATAATGTGCTGAGCAGAGAGAATACGTGCCTGTGTTCCTGATGATGTAATCGAGGACTACGAGCCGCTCAAACTGCAGCTGGAGCTGACGGTTGGTGTTTTCGGGCAGAGGCTCCGCTTCAAACCTCCGCAGCCAGAAATCTGCGTCCTTGTATCCGTCGACAAAGAGCTGGAAGGAGCCAACCTGGTGGAGCAGCAACAGGTCGTGGTCTATATGTTAGACAGAGCGCATGTATTCTCTGGATGCTTGTAATGCCATTGTTCTTAGCATAGCTGAGTATGTTTTCCTCACTGAAAGCCCCAGACGATACAAACAAATTGATCACTGAAAGGAATCCCCTGTGTACTGCAACATATTCATCATATTACCTTGGGTGGCAGTCCGATCCTGTGGAAACGCTGGCCCACTTTAGGCACCTTCTCCAGGGCTAGCCTCTTTCCTCGAGACTTCACCCTGTCTATGGCACTGTAGTTGAATGTTTCGCTAGCCAGGTACACCACCTACAGTGCAAAAGATTGATTAAGAGAGGGAGTCTTTGCCAAATGATTTGTTGCTCTTTGTAAGGACGAGGCAGCGCTGTGTGTGTCTATATAGTACTTTGGTTCTGGGAACGATGTTGAGCTCCAGTTTCTGGTCGACCAGGCTGGCCCCGGCCTCCGAGAGGTAACCCTGGTTCAGGACCAAGCAGTCGCGGCCGAAACAGCAGGGACAACACAGTTTCTGGAGCCACTTGGTCCACTTGGGGTTCAGCTGGCCGTAGGGCTCCTCGTTCTTAGGTTTGAACACTCCAATGATTTTCTGAGGACAGAGAGGCAGAGTGGGGAAAATGAGAAGGAAAATCAGGAAAGAGAGAGCCGACAGAGAGGTTCAGCATCCGACGGGAGTTAAGAAAGTGAAGTTTAGGGATGGACAAGAAAAGGTTTAGTTTGAGTCAATTAAATATTTAAAAGGAGAATGTTCTCCTTCGGAAACAGGACTGAAACATACAGAGCACACAGAGGAGGATTATGCTGCAAGAGTGGATTCAATTTACACTTTGGCTGAAGCATGGAGCATGGAGCATGGAGCATGAATTGAATTAAAGTTTTCCACAGCCAAATGTATAGGGCATGACTGTTTGATGAGCACAAAATGTATTTTGTGCGGTGGTACGTTATAATTGTATATAGAAATCACATGCTGCATTACGCTAGTGTGACACACAGTTACACACATTCACCGCTTTCAACATGAAACTATGGTCATTGAAGAGAATTATATCCTCAAAGAGAGCTAGCACATGACTACTAAGCACGCTGGTGACGACCTGGGGGGGGGCTAGAATACTTTTTTCAATTTTGTAAGCTTTCGGTGAGTAGAGAAGGTGGCAAATAAAAGACCTGGACTACCTGGTCTTGAACGGTCTGTAAATACAACAATGAGGATCCGGCCACAAAGTCTAAAGACACACTTCCCTTTTTTTTGTTTTAAACATGGCCCAACACAACACTCTAGATAAGGACAGGGTCGGAGGACAGTGTCTGTGAGTTACTCAAGACTATTACTGGTCAGCTCCACTCGTGGCGATCAAAGTTTACCGTCATTAATCCGGCATGAGTCAGGAGACCATGTCGAGGGTGACGAATGGAAAGAAATGCTCTGTGTGTTGATTTCCCCGATTTGTCTTGAATGTGTGGCACATTGTAAAACACTTTGACAAATACACTTTGTTGCCGTCCATACTGATTATACGAGCCGCAAGAAATCAGCGTCTTCTGTTTGATTAGATAGTTTACACTTTGCACAGACTTGTAATACAGCAGGAAAAACACTGGAGAGCTGCCAGAAATAACAGTGACGAGCATCTTATCTGTGCTATGTTTGACAGGTGACAACTGGTCAGAGGTGGAACTTCACTAACAGACTGAGCAGAAGGATCGGAGCAGCTTTCAGCAAGAAGTTAAAAAATACTAAAATATGTTCACTCTGGTATGTGCCATAAGATGACTTTGGCAACAAAGAATGTTTATAAGAAGTAATTTATCCAACCAGCAATTGGTTTGCTCAATTCTTAAGACTTAATTAGTGTTTCATTACTTTGAGCCTTCACACTGTCAGTGTTAAACACACGTGCAGTCTGTTATCTTCTATTCTAGAAGAACTGGCCGTTTACTACGTTCCTGTTGTGTTGTGTTGGCATGCCCTATAGCCTATTTGCCAAGTCATCACAGGCCAGTTGAAAGAGGCCTTTCCTTTGACCAAAACAGTCTTGCAGTCATTGCATCACACACACACACAACACAACAGATACCAGAGAATAAGTCACGAGAAGCTAAAGCGACCGTTAGCATTGGACAGCAACTGTTGGTACTCGGTAGACGCAAGTTAGCAGCTTCTCTTCTTACCCCCTGCGAGTCTTTGACAAAGTAGCTTCCACTGGATCCTTGGTAGATCCTCTCCGGGTAGATCCCCTCCTCTATGGCTCGCTCGGCCTTTCGGATGATGTCTCTGAACTCGGGATCCTCCGGGAACTCGTTCCTGTGCGGCTCCCGTGGAGAACTCCCACGGTCCAGAAGCGGCTGTCGCTCCCGGCTGCGTCCCGGACTGCCCGCCGGGATGCGCACCACCGAGCCCGGTGTGCTCCCAAACGAGCCCCGGGGGCTGGCGGGCTCTGTGGGACAGTAACTGAAATCACCGGAGTCCCGGAGCGGAGAGACGAGCGGACTCGTCTCGTCCATGACGTTGGAGATGGACGAGGAGTTATTTTAACCCGCTGAGAAGGAGAAGAAAGAGAAGAAAGAGACAACAGGAATAAATAGAAGAGGTAAAGAAAGTGGGACGGTTGTTTAGTTGGCTAGCACTGACGCTGGCTAACAAGGAAACAGAAGAAGAAAAAAGGAAAAGTCAGGTGACTGTCAGCTTCCGGAAAAAGGCGGGACTCGTTTAGTGTTTTGATCTTCAACCAATCAACGTTCAAACGCTCCTGTCAATCTCCTCATCTCTAGCGCTGATTGGGCACAATCATTCCGCAGTTAACCCAATCAATTAACTACATTAAATAAACAAGGCCTTTGGCGAGAATTTGAGTGCTATCGTCTACATACAATTTATGGCTGTTACGGGAGTGATCTCTGTATTTGCAGTTTTCTGACTGGCAAATCACGACAGATTATTTTGGCTTAATCGAATATACAAAGCCAAATTAAACTCTAAAGTTTGTTACACTCTACATTGAAATTGATTTGACAAAATACGTCAATAAATGTTAGTGATGTACAAACCACAGAGGCTACTTTGAAAATCTGCCCATTGCTTTTAAATGACAACACATTTAAACTTGTTCTTTTGAAAGCTCTGTAATAGCGTGTTGCTATATTCAGGCCTGCCAATAAATGTATTATTATTTGTAATACTCCTCTTTCTTCCTTTTTTGTAAGTCTAATGGGTTTCTATTTGAATAGTGACCATTCATAGTAATTGTTTGTGTAACAAGGCAGTTTTCCCATACGATGCTCCAACACAGCTGGGGGTGTGTGGACGTGCCGCTGTGCTCATCCTCCTCCCGCCCTCCTCAATCACGGGGCACGCAGCTCGTCCTCTGATTGGTGGAAACCAGCAGGAAGAGAGCTCGCGCGTCGTGAGATCTGACAAGTTCGGACACACACCGACTCTACACGCCAACAGCAGACTAACCCTCCAGACTACCAAAATACTGCGCCTGCTGTTTTTTGGTAGCCGTCTTTGGAGTTGCAGCGAAACAAGCACAAATCTGCGGACGTTGCTGCCGCATTTGAGGAAGCGTCACTCACGCCGTATTTACTGGAAATACAGCGCAGAGGGCATCTGTGCGAGGATGGCTGCGTACAAGCTGGTCCTGATCCGCCATGGGGAGAGCTGCTGGAACCAGGAGAACCGCTTCTGCGGCTGGTTCGACGCGGACCTGAGTGAGACCGGGGAGCATGAGGCGAAGAGAGGAGGACAGGCCTTGAAAGGTACCAGATAATGACACGGGGCCTAATCGGACTTTCTCTCGGTCGTGGATTAGCAAGACGGTGCTTATGCAACTCTGACGGATGGGGAAACAGGTAGCCGGTGTGCGGCCTACTGCGACACCGGACGAGCCAGCAGCGGTAGCGACTAAATCATTCGTTCATTAGGCTGTTGGTCTTTGAGAACAAAAAGAGAATGTAGATGCTGCAAATGGCTTGATCAGCCAGCTGTCAGTCCGGCACAGACCACACAGACTCTGCTGGACCCGTTTATTCCTGAGCCCATGGTGGTCCCTGACACCAGTCAAGACAGTGTGGCGACCCCTGGTGTTATATGATCCTTATTTTAGGTTGTCCTTACCTCAACCATCCGCATTAAGGACAAATGCACAGAATCATTCTGATCAGTCTTTCTGATGGATTCAATATATACTGTATTGTGTTGTGAATTGTAGGCTTAACGTGCTATACTACTATGTACTATAGTGTAGGGACATTTTGAAATGTACAGCTCTCATAGCCAGACACACTGATTTGGATGTAATGTATTGAACAGAAAATGAAAAAGCCCACAGATTCAGCCACAACTCTAATAATGGAGGACAAGTGCACGCCGGGGAAAGATGCCTGTGTTATCAGTATAGATTAATGCTGTTTGCTGAGGGATGCTGTGACCACATCTCCGGAAAACACAAGATTAAAAGTGGTGCTTTTTTATGCTTCTTGGTGGAGAAACTCAGTTTTACAGATTTGTCGATTAAATCAATTAGTCCACAAACTTGTTTGAGTGTTAGTCGACTATAAGAATGTCTTTGGTCTAGAGACTGGAGAGGCCAGGGCAGTTTAATTTGACTTAATTCTTTCTGTGTGACACACGCACTGCTGTTGGTTTTCTGCAACCTCAAAAATCCTCTGCAGGACGTGCCTGCAGAGCCCACAGTGGTATAGCACTGCCCCTGACTAAGCAAAAATACAAACATTAGGAGAGATGCAAAAAACAACTCAGATTTTGTCATCTCTGTAACAAAAACACATTATATTTGTATGCACTTACATATTAGCGAAACTGTTCTCTTTGTGTCTTAAATGCCAGTGAATATCCACATTTACCGTCTTTTTCGTGGCCTGTCTCTGATTCACCTCAGACGCTGGTTATGAGTTCGATATTTGCTACACCTCCGTCCTAAAGAGGGCCGTCCGCACCCTGTGGTTTGTTCTGGACAGCATCGACCAGATGTGGCTGCCCGTCCACCGGACCTGGCGCCTCAACGAGCGCCACTACGGTGGCCTGACTGGGCTGAACAAGGCTGAAACGGCAGCTAAACACGGAGACGCCCAGGTCAAGATCTGGAGGCGCTCTTTTGACACTCCTCCCCCATCCATGGACGAGGAGCACGACTTCTATCAGAGCATCAGCAAGGTGACGCCACAGGAAAACATCGTCTCTTTCTGTCTTACAAATGCAGACATGTTTATTACTTCATGATAAAGCCACGCGGTTAAAATGTAATTGACAACATTAATTTCCTCTTCTAGGACCGGCGTTACGCCGACCTGACAGAGGACCAGCTTCCCAGCTGCGAGAGCCTCAAGGACACCATCGCCAGGGCTCTGCCCTTCTGGAACGAAGAGATCGTTCCACAGATCAAAGAGGGAAAGAGGGTGCTGATTGCTGCCCATGGAAACAGTCTCCGGGGCATCGTCAAGCATCTCGAGGGTAAGAGACAGACTTCTGTGTCTTTATGGTCACATTGACCTTCTGTCTAACGGAACGGTATAAGTGTAAACATTTGATGGTTAGATTACTTGAAAATATTATCACTACCGTCTTTTCCGTGTCGAGGTATTCAGATAAAACACTTAGCTGTCATTAGCTTTTTGCACACCTGATTAACCACTTGAAATGAAACTGTCCTGTTTCAGTCTGATCCATGCAGATGGGTTATAAGCTCTGCGTGTCTGTTGCTGTTTTCCCAGGTATGTCAGAGGAGGCCATCATGGAGCTGAACCTGCCCACCGGTATCCCCATTGTGTACGAGCTGGACAAGAACCTGAAGCCTTTAGGACCCATGCAGTTCCTGGGAGATGAGGAGACCGTCAAGAAGGCCATGGAAGCTGTGGCTGCTCAGGGCAAAGCCAAGAAATAGACCCCCCCCCCCCCTCCTCCTGGATGAGTTATGAGATAGACTACAGATATCAATCATGTGCTGTTTAGTTATTACAAGGTCATTTACTGTTACTGTCATCACACAGACAAACAATGTGCACTTTATTTTTAAAATACCCAGCTTTTGCACAGTTTGATTAGTCTTTACTTTGTGACATACTGAAACATGCATGTCATTATTCCACGATAGATATCACCAATAATATGATTTAAACACTGACCAAAATGCAACATTTGGGACCAGCAAATGGGAGCAAATATAGACAAACTCTGCAGAGTCATCCCATGTACTCCTTCCTATTTTCCTATCCATGTAGGTGAGGCTCAGAGGGAACAGTATAACCTATAAAGAAACACTGGCTGTTGTCAAAAGGACATGTTGCTCTGCACTGCTGATTATTGTTTGCTGTGGCATTGTGAGAAAAATAATAAATGTTGTGAGCCATTATGTGATGAAATCTTATATCAGTGTCTGACGGTATTTAGATCCTAGAAAACCAAAAGTATTTTAGATTTTGGATGATCAACGCATCTCAAAGTATACATCATCTATCCCTCAGTTGCCAAATACACCTTCTGTTATAAAGAGCCAAACAAAAATCATTCTGTAGCTGTTCTTTGCCTCCTTGAATAAATAGTTTTATTCTTACACAAACTTCAGTGCATGTCCAGAAGTGTGAGATGTAAAAGATACAGATATTCAAATGCTAAATAACAATACTAGCTAATTCAATTCTAGTCGAGATGGAAAGTACATGCCACAGTAATAGTAACATAATTATTGAATTGGCTTAGTTTGGCATTTTTCACATTAATAGGCAAAACAAGCCCACATTAGTAATTTATGTAATTAATACATTGTATTAATACAATGTATAATTATTTATATATATATATATTTTTTTTTAATTATACGTTATTGTCGTACATATGCTTCACCGCTATGAGGCAGCACTGCATGCCATGTGTGCCTCAACCAACATGGCGGACCGAGCCGTCCTTCTGTTACTTCCGCTCAGCCCGAGACCGGCCAATCAGAGTCCACTGGAGGTCTTCGTCACAGCCAATGGGCTGACGTGTTACGCTCCTCGAAAACATGTCTCCCATGAAGCTGTGTGTTCCAGGTGAGTCCCGTAAAACTTGCATTTACTCTCAAAATAAGGATGAAGTTAAACCCAATGTTAGACCGCCTTGTCCTTCTGTGTTAACGTTGTCTTCTGAAGGCGTCGCTGTGCTGCTAGAAGATACAGTGACGCTGCAGTCTGACAGTGTGAAACCATGTTAATTATTTCCAGCTGCCATGCGTGGTGTGGGCTTTGGCTCCCAGCACAGTTAACACTACACTCAGCTACTTTTAAATGTATTTAGTTGTATCGGGTAAATGTGAGACGGAGTAAGTGAGTTTAGAGCTAATATTTCAAAAAACGGTTTACTGTAATCACCGTACTTATGCGGGGCTGTGAGCTCTTTGCTTTTGCTTTCCACGCATGTTTCATCTCCTGCCCTGCCCATCGCCTCAGGCAGGACAGCAGCATTCCTACTCTCACTTGTTGTGACTCACCCATGTGAATTCCTCGGTTGCATTGTGCTGTAGGAAAAGTCAGCTGAAATGTTTCGAGCAATTGTCTGATAGTGACCTCTTCGATGTGTTAATAAAGTTGGATGGAAACACCAGTTACTGAAAGTAGTAACACAGGGTGTTAGTAAGAGGTCAGGATGAGTATTTCCTGTCATGTTAATGCCAGGAGAAAAGGGACCAGTGAAGGGGATTCTAGAGCCATACTTGTCCCCCTTAGATGAAGAGCTGAATGAGGTAGATTGTTATTATTACTACTATTACTAGCTGTGCAGAGTGCAGACAGGGCTGTGTTTGGTTCTGGACGATTTTTACTTTCATTCCTGAAGTCCAAGCGTGTTCTCAAAAGTAGACCTGTCACCAATCCATAGCTGCATGAAGCTCTTGTTTAAACTCTGGGAATTTCGAAGCCACACACAATATTTGGCACGTGCTTCGTAAAAAGAGTGCCTCTGCTCTTTTACTCCAAAGGATAATGTTGTGTCACAAAAATGTATAATTTCATTCAGGCTGTAGCAGAGATGCTCCACCTCCACTGCAAACATTTTAGTATTTACAACTCCTCTCCAACACTTCCCCTGTCTTTCCCCTCTTGTTTGTTTTCCAGGTGACAAGCTATGCAGTGTGGAAAACTGCATTCCCGGCACAGGAGTATTTCTGCGGCACGGCTACATATACTCCTCACTAGCCGGCTACGTGCTCAAGAAAAACGAGGGAGAGGAGGTGAGGGGTGTGTGGCGTGCCGGAGGGAAGGTGTTGTGTTGTGTAACATGTTGTGAATGTGACTGAACAGCAATATTGTTGCTCAGGGCATGTGCTGAAATATCCACAATATTTAGTGTGACAGGTTTGTTCTTCAGGCTGTTTTGAACTGGTTTCAGCTGACCTGTGATTGTATTTCCATGTGTTTTCTAGTTACCAGTGATCTCAGTGGTGCGGGAAACCGAAACGCAACTACTACCCGATGTAGGAGCAATAGTCACCTGTAAGGTATGCAGTGGAATCAGATACACGTCTTCTATATTTAGCTGATCCAAAGAGGTGTTTTGTCTCGAGCCTTACTGTTCTCTGCCTGGACAGGTGACCAGTATCAACCCCAGGTTCGCCAAGGTCCACATCCTTTATGTGGGCTCCACACCGCTGAAGGACCGCTTCAGAGGAACAATCAGGTAACCCCAAAAACTCTGTCCATAGCCAAACAACATTTGATGTCCTGTTTCTCTGTGTCACTCCCAAAACTGAGCCCACTCCCTCTGCCTCTACAGGAAAGAAGATGTGCGCGCGACAGAGAAAGACAAGGTGTGTTTGAATCCATGTATTTGGTCAGATCATCGAATGTTGCCTCGTGTAATCTAAGATGCTTTTTACTTTTATTGTTACAGGTGGAGACGTACAAAAGCTTCAGACCTGGCGACATCGTCTTGGCGAAAGTGGTATCCTGTCCCTAGATAAATAAACTAATCAGCTCATGCATCCGCTACCTGTTTTTTCCTAAACTGGGAATGACACGCGTCTGCCACGTTCTCTGTTGTTGTGCTCTCTGGGAGCGTGGCAGGTGCATATATTCACTTGTTAGTTTTAAATCCAATCACAACTTTTTGGATTATCACTAATCGTGAGTTCAAAACGGTGCCACTTCAATAGTGTGGATGTATGCCGTTTACTTCTGTGTCGTTAACCCTTGACCTGTGGTGTCAGATTTCTCTCGGTGATGTGCAGTCGAACTACCTGTTGACGACAGCAGAGAATGAGCTCGGGGTGGTGGTTGCACACAATGAAGCAGGTGAGTCTCAATTATATTGTATTGAATATATGTATTGTCTTATTATTTTCAACTTCACAACACAGGAGGGTTCCAGCACAGCGCGGACTGATGCACACGGTGGTTTAAGAGGAACTGCCCAGATAACTGGAGACCGTTATTGTCACTTATCCATTTACACAGTTAAGACATATTTATCAAGCATTTGCTGGAGCATTACTGCAGTTTGGCTGAATTTTAGAATAGTGCTAATCCAGTTATTTCTGATCTCGTAACAAAGCATTTTTCAATCCAGTTACTTTGCTACTTCTTAGAGCCAAGTGATGAAACTCAAACATGGTTATTGAAATGTTTTGCTACAGATATTCAGCATGAGCCTTAAATGAATGTCATCCTAACCTCACACTTTGGAGAAGTCACCCTCTGATTAAGAAATAAGTCTCACCGACACCCTGATCTCTAGTTCCACGATAAAACAGCTCGTATTTTCGTTGATGAGCGTTTCATCATTTTTGTAGATTCCAGTAACTCTTGAGGTTTTTAAATATGCGTGGTGCTGTCAGTAGCTTGATTCAATACGTTGACGTTTCTGTCTGTGGATCAGGTGCCCAGATGGTTCCCATCAGCTGGTGTGAGATGCAGTGTCCACGAACGCACAGCAAAGAGTTCCGCAAAGTGGCGCGAGTGCAGCCGGAGTTTCTACAGGCGTGAGACGTCGTCTTTCCTCCACAAGGAACACACAGCTTCCCCCCCTCTTTCACTCACTGTTGTTAAGTAGCCTCCCAACTCTGCTTCAAATGTTTTCTGAGCGACTGGATGACGTGCATATCTTTGGCTGCTTCTGGTTCACAAGTGTTTTTGTTTTTTTAAATAGCTTTCCCTCTGCACATGGTGTCATCATTTGATTGTGCCAGCTTGAAAACACTGAAGCAGCGTCAGAACAAACTGTCAGGACATATTCTAAACTATGTAGCAACTGTTGTAAAGACATTTTAAGTAAAGTGAGTGCATCCGCCAGCGACGTTGGTTTTTAAAGTTGCCTTTAAATTGTCTAGCGGCAACCTAATCGACTGAGGATGTTGCATTGCAGCTGCAGAGTGACCACCATGGTGAGAAGCTTAAAGCATAAGAACCTAGTGAAGAGAGGTCTTGTTCACGGAGCAGGATTCACTCGGTTTTGTTAAAAGGTATTTTAGCCGATCATCAGGTCACTCCAAGGATAAAGCAGTAGTTGGTGCATAAAAGTCAGACTTGGTTGAGACGAGGCTTTGACTGCATTTTGTAACCAGAGCCTAATGTTAAACACAGCTACCAGTGTGAAGAATATTAAAGTTCAACATGATAGTCAGATATTTCTTTGTTTTCAGCACATTGTCAAATCTAAATGATTATGAGCCGACAAGAAGCAAGCAGAAATGTCTCCATTTTATCGTTTGAAGTAAAGTGTACTCTGACTTTCCTTCAACCTTCACTTTACAGCAAATGTCATTCATGTGCCACCTGTTTCAAAGAAATAGGAGGCAGCATTTCACCTTTTCTGCTGGGTCTATACAGTCATAAAGAAAGCAAACTACTAACCAACAAAAGAGCAAGAATGCAGGAAAGTTCAGCCAGTCAAAATAAGACTGCAGTGGTATTCTCTTGCCATGCAGCAGTGGCCTATAGTTATATACTGTGACACTAACTCAGAGCTGGGCGGACCGCACAAGTGTTTGTTGGATTAAATCCAAAGCAGCATAAACGAGAACTTGTATATTTTTGAATTGTCTTGTCCACCAGGAGACTACTTCACTGTGAGGAGAGCATTCGGCCAGCGGCAGGACTCAGCGTAGGCTACCCGTGTAACGATCGGGCGGGATCAGAACCCATGTTCTGAGGTTTGTCATGGCTGAATGCGAAGTGTAGCCGCCAACTGTCTCCCGGAGCCGCCGCCTGCCCTCCACACTGGAAAAGTAGTATACTGGTGGTGGGAAAGACGAAACAAAAATATAAGTAGTTTTCGAGTCCGCCACTTTGGATTTTATAAAAAAAATAAAAAATACACAGTACACGGGCCCTGTAGCTTCGACGTGATTGACAAAACCTCGCATTAGCTATACTTGGTATTACGAGACAGGGCGGGTCGGGGCTAGCTAGTTAGCATCCTGGTTTCAGTAGAGATCTCTGCAACACAATAAATACATCGTTGATGTGTCGGCACTGTAACCTCTTCACATTGTTGAGTAGAGGGCGTTTTAAAAAAAAAAATGTTTTTATGCTTTTTCAGATGGCACCTTTAAAGGATGTATTTTTATATTCAGTAACAAAACTTTAAGAGACAAATTGCGATATTAGCTGTCAATTTTCCTCAGTAGTGCGCATCAGGACATTTATACCAGCTCAGTGTAATGCTCAGTTACAATCTTTTACGCAGTCAGATGTTTAATATACAGTATGTACAAACAGCGTGTTGTGTGTTCGGTCTCTGACATTCATTTACAGACAAGTTACAATAATAGTCTGTTGTGAGATGTAGATTTCCTGGTGAACCTGAGCGAACTGTCAAGTGTGCAATTCTAAAGTTTAAAAAAAAACCATTGAAAAAAAGTTGTACAACCACACAACCATCTCTTGAAGACACGCACACTTGGATCAATCATCAAAGCGAACTGATCGACATGCATTGATGTCGATGGACAACTTCTTATTGGTTGGTGCATTGAACCCAAGTCCTGACCCTCTGTTACTGAAGTCCATTCTGCGCGATTGAGCGCGTTCAAAGTCTCCCAGAAGCCCTTGCTGCAACTGCTGCTGTGCGTCCTTCCCCAGTGCCATATTAGCTCTGTCACTGCTCGCCGCAGCCAGCTGGGAACCCTTTTTGAAGCCGCCCATCAACCGGAGGAACTTCTGCTGCTGGTCAGAGCTGTCGAACTGGGCGCTGCCCCACTGGCCGAGACCCTGAGGAACACAGATATTGGGGGCATATATTAGTGAATTAAGAGGCTCTCCACTGATTTACGACATAAAGCACCGCTTAGTCGCCATGAGGAGTACTACTTGGTCTGTGAAAACAGACGTAGATTGTCTTTTCTAAAGTCTGACAAAATAACCCTGATGATGTTCTCAGACTTAAGAAAAGTTGCTTGGGCGTGTAGACTTCAACTGTATAATAGAAAGCCTGCATCACAAACTGTTTTACAACCTGTCTGGCACTGACCAGACAGGGTGGGTCTAATGAGGATGCTATTGAGTTGCATTATGGGAAATGTAAGGTGCAGTCCCCATCATTGAGCTTCACCGAGGATACAGACTAAAAACGTTGAAAATCTCTCTGTCCTTTTAAGGAAACAAAGCCAAAGGGAAACTTTATAGTTGTACGTTCTTTACAAGAACGTTACTGATACTGACCTTTGGGTTGTCTGGTTTTTGGGGTTGAGAGGCTTTGTCGATCTCCATTTGTAAAGCCTGTCTTCTTTCCTACGACAAACCAAAACACACTTCATTATGCTTAACTGCATTAAACAGACAATGCAGGCAATTTACATTTATTTGGGAATAAAATAATACAGATGGTTGTCTCATTACGGGGATAGTTTAACATTTTGGGAAATACTCTTATTTTGACCATTTACACAAGAACATTGACCACTCATGTCTGGTCGTTAAATATGAAACTACAGGCAGGAGTCGTCCAACTTAAGTGGACTTAACAAGCGAGATTCGTGGCAATTAATGTTTCACCTTAGGACAGAGCCAGGCTAGCTGTTTCCACCCGTTTCCAGTCTTTGTGCTAAGCTATGCTAACTGCTGTTAGCAGTAGCTTCGTATGTACCATACAGACACGAGAGTGATATCAATGTTGCCGTTTAACTCTCAGCAAGAGAGCAGATAAGAGTATTTACATTTGTGCACAGCAACATCGATCACACCCAACAGTGACGGAGGAATACCGAGAGGCTCGTTCACCTGGTTGATGGTGACCTCATCTGCGTTTCCAGATTTCTCCGACAGGAAGACCACGTCCACGATGTGCGAGTCCTGAAACAGAAACCAGGTTCACTCCAGATGTTAAAACTTAAAAACAACACCTGAGCCGTGTCGCTCGCCTCCCACAGTACACACTCACATGTTGGTCTTCCACCTCTTCTTTAATCTTCCTCTTTTTTGCACCAGTTCCAAAACTCACAGTCTCCACCTTAGCAGAGCTCTTCTTCTTCTTTTTGCTCTTCTTGCCCGTCGTGTCCGTGGCTCCCGTTTTACTAATCTGCTCCTCAACCTCCTCACATTTTAGTATTAATGGTTCTTCCTCCTCTTCTCCCGTTGATTTTCCCTTTTTCTTCTTCTTTGGCTCTTTCTCCTCTACTTTGCTGACCTTCACAGATGCTTTTCTACCCTTTTCTTTGTTTCCGTTTGTCTTAAGCTCCGTCTTTGGCTTCGGCTTTGTCTTAGGCTCCTCTTCATCTATGATAACAATCTCGCTCTTTGTGGATTTGTCTCTCTTCTTGTTGGGCATATCGTCTTTCTCCACCTTTTGGCCTGATGCCGCTTTGCTCCTTTTGTTACCTTTCATCTGAGGCGTTGCTAATTTATTTTGCTTTTCTTTAGCATTGGCTTCCTTTTTCACTTTTACCTCACAAGTGTCTCGCTCTGGTGTTCCTAACTTCACTCCGTTCTCAGTCACTTTAGCAGATTTTCTCTTTTTTGTAACAGTTATTCCTTCACAGCTTTCCTGTTTCTTCTTTTCTTTAACTTGATCCTCACTTTTCTCTGTATTTACAACTAAAATCGTTTTTCTCTTCTTGGCTCTCTTTGGTAATTCCTCCTTCTGCTCTTTCTCCATCTTTACATTTTGTGGTTTAGTTTGAACAGACTTATTTTGTATTTTGTTCACCTTCCTTGGTTTCTCTTCCACTTTTTCTTTTACTGAACTGAGCGGTGCAATTTCCAGCTTCTTCTTCTTCTTGACTTCTTTGTCATTTCCATTCTTAACACAAGAACCATTAAGAGATTCAGTGACAATTTTCCTCTTCTTTGTCTTCTCTTTCTGTTCACTTTCATCCAAAGACTCCCCATCTATATCTATAACAATTACATCAACCTTTTTACTCTTCGTTTCTATTTTAACCTCTGCTTGGCTCCCATTATCAACAGAAACATTTTTCTTTTCAGGCAGAGAGGCTTGTCCTTTTGTGAGTTTCTTCTTCTTCTTCACAAAATTCTGCTCACTCTTCTCCATCTTCATTTCACCCCTCTCCACAGCAACAGACCTCTGGCTTATCTAGTGAGAGAAATAAAAATGACTGTAAGACAATACTAGATAATAGATGAAACAGCAAAAACAGGCTTATAGGCTCTATGAGCAAGTGTGAGTAACAGAGCAATAAACACTAACCAAAGGTTGGGCTAGCTCCCTGGGCTGCGACTGCTGATCAATGTCTCTTTGCAGGGCCAGTCGCCTCACCTGCAGGGAACAGAGCAGTGTTGTGCTTAAATGTTAATGATTTCAGAAATGTACCAAAACCAGTAAGACTATTTTATCTAACAGCTAGGTTGTTAACGCAGATCTTACATGTACGCAGGAGTCTGCAAATCAAAGTCAGGTGGAACTTTGCTGCAAGTTCTACTGATTTAATCACACATTGTGGACTATGCGAGATTCACTCATGCTTAGTTTTGTGTTACAACATGTACATTTATGATATATGCAATTCTCAGGCTTTGAACTTCTACTTGTAGTAGTGCGTTTTTAGCACACCGTCACAAAATACAACCAGTATGCATGGTTATTCAAAGTAGAGCTTGGGTTTCAATCCTAGAGGATTCTACTGCCTTGCACGTGTTTATCTTGTTTGCATCAGTATCATCGGTGATCTTATTGGATGTAGATGCACACTTTTCGGAAACAAAAATCACTTCCTCATCGGCTTCCGTCTGAAACATGACACTGAACATGCTTTCAGTCCCACTGCTCATAGGTGAGTTAACACGCCCATGGCACCTAAACTTGTATGACGACATTTTGACTTACGACAAGTTAAGCTGCAACAAATCCAGAGTGACAACAGGTCTCGGCCAGAATACAATGACCGTGTTTAACGAAAGCACTCTCTTGTTAATTTACCTTTAGTAAAGGTCATTAGGTACCCTTTAAGAGTATTGAGACCCTAAACCAAGGTGATGGCTTGATCCTCATCCGTAATTAGTCGAGTCTCAAGGTTTGTTAGATGTGTTAATGCAGAACGTGAGACTGGACGGTGGATTCGTAGGAAAGTATGTGTTGGTGTTGGCTTTGATGGTGTTGCCATTCTCTCCCTAGGCTGGTCTTGAATGCGTTGACTGAGGAGGCACTAACTGTTACTTGACTCAGGCTGTTCCATACTGGTGTTGTTCTACTTGAGAAAAAAGGTTTCCGTGGACCAGGCTGGTGTTGTACCTGTTTAGCATCTAAACCATGCTAGCTTGCAGCTCACAGCAGCTAACGTGAAATAGCAGCTAAAAGGTAAACACGATGAAGAAACACACTAACTAGTCAGCTGGACGGTGAGATAATCGTATCATAGTCGCATGATGTATTATGAAATGTAAACTTGATGAGCGAGCGATTTACTTACTTTGTACCCTTAGATAGTTCACGTGGACACCAGTTTACTCTCTTCCCCCGGAAGTAGTTCCCGCTCTTTCCTGTTGACGACGAGCCAGGCGTCCGTAGCAACAAGTGGCGCAGTTGCGAATGCGAACACATCAGATATTTGTACCAGGAACAGTGAAAAGGGTGGATGTCATGCGTCATTTCATGCGGTACAACGCCTGCGCAGTGAAACCTGGACTGCACTTGCCGGAAGGCTCACGAGCTAGCGCACGAGCGTACCCAAAACGTTATGTCAGGCCGAGCGCAAGCAGAGAGCACCTGTTCTCAGTTTGCGTTCATGGAGCTGAAACCACCATCCCTTTATGGCTAGCGCCGTCTGCAGTGACCCTCCAACGTTGTAGCTCCAGTTACACTGCGCATGCGCCATACCTCAAAAGCTCAAAATGTCCCGGCCTTTATTCAATAGCTTTGAGTTGTACCCAATGAACGGAAATAAGGCTCGACTTATAAAAGTATAAGAGTTGTTTTCAATTAAAGTATTGTATTTTTTTTGTTTTTGTTTGTTTTTTAACTATGAAATTATATTTTATTACTTAAAGTAGTAACTCATGAATATTTGTATGTTAATTTAAGTTGCAAAACAAGCTAACGCTATAGCTTGGCCAGTTAGTGATTGATTTCCCTCTATATTGAACCAATATATTTACAAGACACACTTGCAGTGAGTCAGCAAAAGAACTTAGTGTGGCACATTTACAAACAACTAAACACATACAAATAAACAAATAGATAAACTAAAAATAGATATAACTAACATATAATGAACAGCAAAAAAAAAAAGGTAACCCAACGGCATTCAAACCATGGTTTAAGTAAAGTGTATTATGCAGGGTTTGAAGTACTCTCTCTTTTTTAATTATTCACACAAATACTTTCGGCGGCCCCAAAGTTTGCAACGTTATCCCCAATTCAACGATTACTACATCCTTGTGTGACGGCAGGTTTCGATTGTATAGCTGCATCTCTATGAAGTGGCCAATGTCTACAGTACAGTGGATCCATTAGTGTGTACCGTAAGGACAGGAGGATGAAGAAAGATCAGTTCAATGACCAGACAATAATTATCAGAAAATATGCACTGATGTATTAGCCACTTTGTGCGAATCACATTACAGACATTCATGTTACGCTGCCCGAAACAGACAACAGTGCACAAACAGTGCATCATAAGAGCATCTCAAAAGGAAAATACCATTTTTACATTTGGAATATTTACATGATTAAAATTCAGTTATATAGGGTTAATACATAAAAATCTTGTGATCATAATATTTTCATTGTACATTATCTGAGCGCACACTTGTATACAGAAGCAAATTATTTAGTTAAGTCTTATAGCAAGAAGAAAATGGTCACAACAGTTACATGGTGACTGCTCTCTGAAGTGTATTTTGACTGGATTAAATGTCCTCGAATGAATTCAGAGTTGGTCAGGAAATAAAAAAAAACCCTCAAGTCAAGTATGAAGTTGCCTCAGAGTTCATTTTGCCGGTGCATTTGAACAGCAGCTGCCGACTAGAAAAGTGTCTCATCTTGGAGCCAAACTTTGCTGTGTCACAAATAAAAACAGTTCACATGCATTTGAATCTGTTCCAGTTAAATTCACAGTGATGGATGACGAAATGTTCTCTCTATATTTGATGGAAGTTGAAATTTAAAGGCATCCTAAATGCCAGAATATAATGAGATGTTGCCATACAAGTATGATCAGTAGCCAGCAAAACAGTTGAACTTTAGTAGCTGTTCCAGAGCTTTCAATCATACAACATGATCTTCCTCTGCAGATTTTGCCCAGTTGTCATGGAGTTGTAGATGTTTCAAATTTTCTGAGCACTTCAGATGGTTTTGTTATCTGTTGTCTCCAATTTCAAGAATGAACTCAATACTAAAACTACTATTTCTCTTCCATATTTATATAAAAAGTCTAGAAAACACTGAAAATAGAAGTCATTCTGACAAAAAACATTACCTTTAAACTGCACTTACATGCATCTGAAATGATCATACATCCCAAATCCATCCAAAGATAAAGTGCAAAATCACAACCTCCAACAGTAAACCTTACTGCAGAATAGGCATTTCAGTATTAAATGGCTTTTTATGATACACTTATTAAAAACTATTTACCTAATGCATTTTAAATCACCAGGTGACCCCCCAGAATTCTGCACAAGCTTTGTTAAATGCATGACAAATATCAATACACAGGGCACAATGTGCCAAATAGCACTGATGATAGAATTGAGACATGGATAATAACGCACTGAGGCCTTTGGGTCTTTCCAGCACAGAGTAATACAGAGGCCAAGCAAGCTTTGTTGGCGAATGCAGGCAATTTACATAAACAACCTAAAGGTTGTTTTATTTTAGTCGTAGCTCGACGCAAGATAGAAAGGAAAGGACAGCGTCGTTTTTACGAAGAAAACATCACTGATCAGTAAGTAACAGCACTCGTTTAGAGCTGCTCACACAACATGTTTAATTCACTACATTCAGATCATCAGTGAACCTTTCTCCAGGTCAAAGCCACGTTGAACACTGGTCTTAGATTTTCACCTTATATATAGTAACATTAGCTCCTTATACTTGTCAGTGTACATTTATTTACATATTACAATTAAGACTATCAAAACTGTGGAAGCTCCGTCACTTTCTCTTCCCTCTCTTGTGTCCAGTCTGCCGATAAAGAGGCAACACAGAAAACTTCAGCAAAAATACTATTAAAAGGCTCTTAAAATGTAAAATACATGTGTGCGCAAATACATTAAACATTTTTTTAACTCCCATCAAATCCATCCTGTGTGATATGTGATTCTTAATATCTCCTTCTTCTTCTTAGGCAACAGGAAATTCCACAATCACACACCCGTGTATCCAGCTTGGTCCCGTCTTACCATAACCGTCGTCCGGTGTAGTTAACTGGGGCTGTGGGCATCTACAAGAGAGAGACAGACATGTTCGCAAATACATTGCTCCTGTGGTTGGTTATTTAGTAAATGAGGCAACAATACACACATCCATACTCACTGTTCCACCATTCATGACCAGAGCCATCTCAGTGGGCTGGTAGACGTGACCTCTGAAGGCGACGCCAGGACGCATGCTCCCTTGGCTGCTGTGGTATGTTCCACTTCGGAGAGCTGACAGACGAGGCAAGGCACACACACACACACACACACACACACTTTAAAGCTCTCTCGCTAACAAACATAATTATTCCACTTTCAGGAGACATGATAGATGACTGTGCCACTGACTGATACAGAGCATAAATGCATCAAACTTGAGGTTGAAGTATAATTACAACAATCATTTGGGAACTCCTTTCACACCCACAGTAAACCCCCACCGGTGATTATAATTATTATGGTTGATCGGATCAGTGTTTAGTTTACATCTCCCCGACTCCCCTGTATACTTTGTTGGGCTGGATGAATTACACGTTTATCAGGCTTATTGATAGTCATCATTTCTTGAATATTAACACAATCTCTTTACCAACTGCAGAGATTACGAAGATAAAGAGACAGAGTTTACCGTCCATTAGAGAACGCAGCAGAAGACTAACCTCATCCTTTTAACCACAAAGTAAATCCTCTATTGACTTGCTTACGAAGGCTTCATGTGACTTTCTTCTCGGTGCAACTTTGCTGTTGTGAGTCCTCGGTTAGCGAGAAATTGGCCAAACAATATTATCCGTCTCATCATGTCTGCTTTCTTGCAACATCCTCTTTGACTCTCTTCTGTTGCTGCAGCTCTGTTGATCCTGGTTCGGAGTGGTTTAGCTCTTCATCTGTGCATTTGGCTTCAGATAAATATGGAGAGCAACCACAGTGAAGTGACTCACACATTTGCCTGTAAGCCTGTTGGATGAGCAGGCATTTCATAAGCATTAATTGGATTTTGGATTACAGTAAGTAACAGAGAGCCACACTTTGCTGTACAAAAACATGGCACTCATGGTAGTAAGTAATGTGGCCATCTTGGTCAAATGTGTGTTGGTCTGCAGTACAATGGATTCAATTTATTTCCGTAGCATTATTATTATTATTATTATTAGCATGACTCTTTTGAGTACAAACATGCTCAAGAAACAATGTGACTGTTGGGTAAACAAAAATATGTCAGTAACATAAAGAGCGAACAGATGGATAGCATTAAAGTGCATTGTGATGCAAGCATGCGAGCAGTTTTTATGCATATGCAGATTTTTTAAATCGATTTTAAAGATCTTCTTTTCCTCTGAGAGAACTGAGGCCATATTCACAAACATCCTTAGCTCCTGAGCTACTCTGAGTTAGGAGAAATTCCTGAAGATAAGGCGCGTGTCTGTCCTAACTTTTGGACTTGTCTTTTTTTTGTCTGAGAGTCAAAAGCTGCAGATACTGTGCGTCATCAGTGTTAAAAGCATATTTTGTTACTATGAATCAAATCAGGCCATTCGATAGCACTGGAGATGCAGTTTGCACAACTCTCCACTCCTTGAACTCTGATATGAAAATGCAGTTTGCAGCTGATGAACTTTAAATATCTCAGCTGTGTGTGAGAGTTATTCCTCAAACCAAAAATCAATCCATCCATCTTTTTAATTAGATTTTTATGTTTATTAATTATTTTAATACAATTTAATTTAATCTAAGTTCGTTGCAATTTGATTTGCTTTTGTTTTTGTTTATTTGGAAATGTACCCTTGAGACATGATGTCATCGCTTCTCTCAGCGTGGGAGTGCTCTCAAATTCAACATCAGTTGAGAGGAGCCACATTGATCACCTTTCAGACTCAACAGACAGCTGTGATTACAGTATGGCATTATTTAAAGATGTCATACTGCATAAAAGTTAGTTTTTTGTTGTCTAGTCTTTTTTTATTCTGTTTTTGTTGTACGTTGCCAGGCAACAGTGTTCCGATGACTTACCATAAAACACTTAAATGTCAAAGATATTTGTACTCAACCTATCACGCAGAAAGACGACCTAATGAGTTGAGGCAGCATTCGACCGAGGATGAAAAAAACATGTTTTCCCTTTGAAACAGGTTCTTTATCTCTGTTATACAAACATGCACAGCAACACACACACAAACACACACACACACACACACACACACACACACACACACACACACACATTACATAAGCCTACTTGCGCCGTGCTCCTCCATAGAAAAAGCCTGGTTTTCAGGGAAGGGTCGGTGCGAGTGTACCGGGAGCTCATCTCCAAAATGTGGGGGAGGGGACGTGTGACTGGTGTCGAAGAAGTCTTGCGTGTTGGACGGTGGAGGGTTTCGGAGACAGAGGTGCGCCTCTGGAATAGCGTGGAACAGCAGCAGGATCCAGCCCTGAATGACCAGGGCCACCGCCAGCGCCGGCTCATCCAACACCTTTACATCCTTCTTTCCTCCTCCTCCCAACCTCTCCCCTTTCCCCTTCCCCCTCAGCGCCTGGCTGCCATAAAGATAAAACCCCAGCCAAGCCACCCACAGCAATGCTGATGCCAGACTGGACAGGAAGAGCCAGACGGCGTTACACTTCCATCTCCGTTTTTCATTCTCTCCTTCTCTATCTTCTTCACTCACACCTCCTCCTTCTGCCCCCATCTCTCCTCCACACAGTACCACCCCCAAAGAAAGCCCCATGGCTATGAGGAGCAGCCCCAGGGTGTAGCTGCATGTCAGAGCAAAGTCTAAAGGCGGATATTCGCAGGCCGGGTGACCCTCCCTAACTACAGTCAGCAAGACCCATTCGGCAGAGATGATCCCCTGAACCAAGGCCAAGGCCAGGCCTAGCGCAGCCAAGGAGCTGCCCGAAGGGCTCGTCTCGCCGGCCACCAGCCTCCTGAGCCTCACACCCTGCACTAGCAAGCTGGAGAAGCAGAGAGCAAAGAGGGGCCCCCAGAAGGCCCTGCGGACCACACAGAGCGCCTGGTTCTTCCCCACCAAGAAAGCCAGAGAGATGGAGAAGAGCCCGAGGAGCGTGCCCAGGAGCAGGAGAAGAGGCCCCATGCCGGAGCGCCTGGCGGGGTCAGAAATGAAGCGGAGCTTGACTAACAGGAGCACAGCGAGGACCAGAGAGGCCAGGCCACCGCTGCAGGCCACGGCCTCCAGAACCACACCCCAGGCTGACTCCAGGTCACACAGCACCCTATACGGAGGGTCCACATCCACGCTGCACCCCCGTGGAGGAGGAGAGGGGTGGGATGAGCCATAGCCAATCAGTGACAGGAGGCAGATGATGACGATAGGGCTGACGGCCATCTTAGAGACACAGAGCAGAAAATAATGTAGTGATGGGGAGAAAGGTACAGAGAGAGATGTGATACTGTGGTGAGGAGGGAGGCAGGAAGGTGAACATCGTGATAAATGACTGTGTGTTAGTAAATACAGTACCTTCATGAGCTACGACATAGAGCAAAAACAGCAGTCAATAAGATCCAATAATATCAGAGATTAATATGTTTTTCTCTCACACACACACTCGCACACACACACACACACACTCATTCGCAGCACAGAATAGAACTGCTTTTAGCGCTGGGCAATAGTTTCCATGGGAACGGGAAGCAGCGTGGGCTGACTACATCACATACTGGGCTTTTGAGAAGTAGAGTTTCAGCGCCCAAAAGCACAGAGAAAATGCACACGTATGCGCACACGCACACACACGCACAATGTTTGTACTTACTTGTGAGGACCCCTGTCGACGTGATTGCATTCCTTATTTTAACCTTTACCTTGATACCAAGTTAAAACCCTCAAACTGTGAATGATTATAACGTCCTCACTTTTAAAAAATGTCCTCGCTGTCGAGGTCTGAAACTCAACTTGGTCCCTAACAAGGATAGCGATGGAACACATGCACATACAAAATAACACAGCATCAGAAAGATTCAATCAAACTCACCTCAGATAAATTCTTGTCTTGAAATCTTGATTATTGACAGTGGAGGGGCATCATCATTTTCCAGTCTGCACCCTTTCAACTATAGTCCAAGTGTATATATATATATATATTTATAATCCCGGTTAATGAAATCCTTGAGGCAGCAGAAACAAAACGGTTTCCATATTGTCTCTTGTGTGGCTCACAGCTCCCACTGTTTTTAAGTACACAATAGCACACTTTGTGAGACCAATAACGTCCGGCTGCTCCGAGAAGAATCCACAATTATGATGCATGCCTTGATACTTCACACACCCACATAGTCAAATATATCTTCCGTCTCTCTTTCACTCTTCTCTCTCGCTCCCTCTGTCCTCCTCTTTCTATTCATTCTGTCTGCACGTCTGTGTTTCTCTCTCCCTGCTTCACGCTGAATCTGCGGAGGTGTCTACAGAGACGCAATCCCAGCTCTACCTCTGTTCTCCCACACATGGGAAGTATGATTTGCTGATGCACCTGTCTAAACAGGAAGAAAATAGGAAATTAATTAAGTACATAAGGCTGTTAATTCACAGCCAATCCAGTATTAGTCACTTGTTTGCACATCTCGGTGTTGTTTCCTCCCCCCACGTCTTCCTCATATCACATACAATTCTTCCTCACACCCAGAGCTGGAGATTCATCTTTAGTCACCAGATTGGACCAAAACAGATGAAGGTCTCTTCTGCAGTAAAATGTCCGTGAGAATGTTGCAGAGTGAAGATGGAAGTAGAGGGGCAGATGGTCAATCTAAACACAGGTGAGTAGAGAGTTACATAATACCCTTGAAGTCGTGATTCATCCAAGTCTTCCTTGAGAGTGAAGTCATCTCCTCCCGTAGAGATGGTTTCATGTGGGTTTGGAGAGCGACACGACATGAGGAAAAACATGACAGCAACCAAACTAGCCAGCTAATCGAGTCAATTTGGATCAGTGTGAGAGAGATTGATGCTGACAGACACTCACGAGCTCAGTGACAGATAGAGGCCAAACATAGGAGCAGTCAAAGCTGGAGGAAAGGAGCTTCCATCGTGTCCATCCAGAAATGATAGTGTTTTGGTTGGTGATCGCAGACGAATGGAGTGATGGATGGTTTTTTTTCCAAACAATCCATGACACAAGTTAGCCAGCTGTCTCTCAATCTTTCCAATTCTGTGCGAAACTAAGCTAACGCTACAGCTACATATTTAGCGTAGAGCGCGGTGTCAATCTAACTCTCATCAAGAAAGAAAACAAGGGCATCAAACTATTCCTTTAACTCTTTTCTGACAACTTAGAAACAAAAAATGTGTTCATTACATTGAGAAATCAAGCTATTCGAAAATGAAACACAATTGTTAGTTGCAGCCCTGGTAATCATTTCACCATTATCCTTCACAGACAACACGGTGAGTCAGATGGGGGTCTCAAGAGGGTCCGAGGGTTTTTAATAGATCTGGGTCTGAGCCCACCCTGATTTGCCTTGTGAGAGAAACTAAATGTCTGCTATCCTCTCACAGACATCACTTTGATATCCCGGTCTGCCTCTAGTATTTTTAAAAGCAGAACCTTAATGACAAGTCACTGTCTTCAACATCTTTGGGAAAACACACAAAAGAAGACAGAGGTGGAAGACAACAGGGCAGGAAAATGATGACTAACTCAGTCCTGATCTGTGTAATCCAGTGGTTACTATGGTCACAGTCTAATAGGGCCTTGTTAATATGGCCTATCCCATAATCCCATCTTCATCCCACCTCCTCACATGGCCACATACAAGTCACACACAGAGGGAAGGTTACAAAGGGAGGCTTGTTGGGGTGGACCTGCATGTGATGTAACATCTTACTTCACACACAGTTAAAGGCATCCACAGCTGGAGGTCTGGAGTTTACCCCCGTCAGCCGTGAGGCAGCACAGGACAGGGTGCCGTTCCCATTAATTATGAAGTGGACTATAAGTGTGTTTCATTTATCATCAGAGGCAAGTGTCCAGTTAGTTGAGGTCCTGTTTGAGTGGTGCAAGGGTATTTTCTAGCATCTCCTTTTCAGTCAAATAATCAATTTACTTGTTTTTGTCAAGACAGCTTCAATAACAAAATTAAAAGAAATGGTTGACGAATCGCCATGTTGTTATTTTTGCAACCGATGAACGGCAGTGACCATATTTGGAATTCGGGGGAGTGCTGTATGGCTCAGGTAGTGGCAGCGAGCTGTCAATCACAGTAAGCCCGCCCTAAAGCATACTCCGCTTTATGGTGTATTTTACTCTAAACCGACCATAATGTACTAAATGAACATCATGCTGTATTGAAGAAGACTTGAAACTAGCGATTGAGACCATAAACTCATGTTTACAATGTTTACTGAGGTAATAAATCAAGAGAGAAGTAGGATTCTTTTCTCATAGACTTCCATTTAATCGGAGGTCGCCCCCCCTGGACAGCAGAGAGAATGCAGCACCGGAGGTGGCCGCCTGGTTTAACGTCACAACGCTAGGAATTGTGGGTAATTACCTCAGGCAAAGTCTGCAGAAATGCAGAGTGTTCATAAAGGGCTCAAAATGTCAGCGAGAGCCTTTAAACACTCGACAGTTTGACGTTGGGACATCCATAAACCCATCAGTGTGGAGATTGAGATTAGGCCTCTGGTCCTGCAGCAAATAAAAAATGATATACTTTCTCTTCTACTGTATGTTTATAGATGAGATTGCAAACCAACAATCATACTACCACCTATACTGGATTAGAGCATGTAAAGCCTTTTCTCCATTAAATACAGCATACAATTAAAAATAAAGGAAGAGTTTATCACAGAATAAACCTTTGTCACAGCATATATAATAGAAAATAATATGATTATGTTCAATTTGAAATATATCTTCAATAAAAACAAATAATTTTTTGTCAACATATGAAAGAGCTGAAATTTCAATAAAAACATTCAACATGCTATAAAAAAGGAAATTAGTATAGTAGTATATATATATATATATATATATATACTTGATTTATTTATCACATGTGATACTTATCATCCATTTAAAGAAATGCAGAACAAAGTGCTTTACAATGAGGGAAAATATTCATACAATGATCACAATAGATGAAATAGAATGCATAACATAAATCCCACTGAATAATAAAATGTGTACCCATATTTGCATCATGCACATTTAAATCAGTAAACACGGCAGCCGCACAAAGAGGTCTTCATTCTCTTCTAATCTGTTCTTCATCAGTGGTGGATGTTTGACGTTTCACTTCAAAGACTAAGAAAGTATTTTGCTTTGTCTGATGGGTGTTTGCATGGAGAGCTTTGGCTCCTGTCCAGATCTATATTTAGTCATGATTAAAGTCTATCTACTTTTTATTGTTATTTTATTCTTGGATGGATGTGCAGGACGTTGTGACAGTGGGGGCAGGAATGCTCCACATCCTTGCAAGAATCCACGCAGAAGGGGATACAACAGCAACACCAGCACCTGTGTGGAGTATGATAATAAAGTCATAATAATGAGAAAACAATACATTTTAAGTGGAATTGACTTGGGATTAGTGTGTTGGGTTCTCTACTCACATGAAGACTGCTAGTATGCCAAAGATCATCCAGGTGTAACTGCCAGTTACGTACCCGATTTGAGTGATAACAATGTTTTGGCAGTAAGGACACATTATCTGTCCAGGAACATCAGTCAGCTGCGACTGCATTATCACCACCACCGGGGCCCCTGCTGTGAGGGAGACAATCATCACCCTGTCAACAGCTACGACACAAAACCTCCTCATCGCACCGTCACTGAACTCAAAGATCAGGAGAACCTGTTAAACTATGTGTTTGGGTGGAGAACGATTTCTCATCTATTGTACCGCTGAAATAATTGTAATGATCTGTCAGGCAACACTCTCACAAATATGTCTTAAAATCATTGTAAAATTAGATGTTTGCTTGGTCTACATAATAAAATGTAGTTGACTTTATTTGCAAAATCATTTATTATTGTTGAAGAAAATCATCATATAATTTGGGATTGAACTGAACACATTTGGTTTCATAAAAACATTCTTAGGAAGTGATTAGGGCGCGCTAGACAAATTGTAATCTATCACTCCAATGTGTGTCCAAACATTTCCCGTACACGAATCCTGTGTTCTGCCAAAAGGTTATCTTGACCCAAACAAAGTCATGAGAGCATGACATAGTGAAGAGACCAGAGTGTTTTGTTTGTGGTTCAACCCACTGGTTTGATTGGTGGAAAGTGACTTAAGGGGGTTGAAGTTTGACTATAAAAGTAATCTGTGAAAAGTAATACATCGGATTTTGTTTGGATTTGTTGAACTTGTTGAATGTTGGCTTGTTTGTATTAAAACACTTCCCGCTGGGTTGCAACTTCAATTCGCCGTCTCTTCTCGTCATTTTACCACAACATTATCTACAAAAATGAAGGTTTATGTTGCACAAGTCTTGCACGATTGACATAATATGATGCAAAAATGTTGCCTTCATTTTCTAAAGTAGATTAAGCCACTACTTTTTATCAGTGTATGTTCTGCAAATTCAAAGTTACTTAAACTTGTTAGAAACAGTTGTAGAGAGACACTCACCGGGTTGTACGACTTGAGGTTGCTGTGGGCTATACGGGTAAGCAGGTTGTTGAACTGGATCTGAGGAAGAGACATTTATCTTGAGAAAGGTTCAAATTATTAACAAGCAGCCAAAAGGCTTCTACCACATGGACTAAAATTACACAAATAACTCAAGAATATAGGAGCTACATTCCACTAAATTATGCAGTTAAAATGACTCAGATGAAGGTCGGTGATCTCTTACTGGGATAGCTCCCAGGCTGAGCTTGGTAGGCTCCATTGTAGTCTGGAGAGAAACCTGGGTACGGTGGTGCTGCCATTCCCGGAGGAGGACATTTATTTTGAGAAAAGTTTTAATTAATTACACGCTGCCAAAAGGCTCCTATAGACTAAAATGACAGGAATAACTCAAGATTATAGGAGCATTCCACTAAAGTATGAGTCAGATGAAGCTCCCTTATATCTTACTGGGTTGGAAGCCAGGCTGAGGTTGGTAGAGCATGTTGTTGTCCGCAATGGGACTAAAAGGCTGCGGTGCTGGTACTCTTGGAAGATATCCGATAGGCCTTTCCATGATATCCGCTAAAAATAGGAGGAAAAAGCAGAAAAAAAAGAGTAAGGCCCTGTAATCCAAATAACAAGTTCTGATCTCTCTGAAAGACGTGAAAGGAAAATGTTGAACGGAGCAGGTTAAGTGTTCTGGACCGTTCTCTACACTATCTGTTTGCAGCTCTCTTTTCTCTGAAGTGTGAACACTTGAGAAGGAAGTTAAAGAGCATTTCAAAGGAAGAGGTGCCAGGGTTACTGGCACACAATTAGTGATGGGTGGTAAACCGGTTCAACCGGTTTTTATTTAATTTCCCATATGATATGAATCTCTTTAACACGGCAAAACACCACGACACAACAGTTTGTGACACATAAACAATTTGTAACACTAATTTCAACCGCTCACCGCTCACCGGTTCTTGTCGGCGTTAATTAATTAATGCTTTAACGCGGGAAAAGAAATACCGCGATATACCGTGAAACCGCCAGAATCTTACAAAATACTGTGATATACATTTTTGCTCATACCGCCCAGCCCTACACACAACTCTCTCGTATGCCGTGTATGCAAGCAAGCTGGTTTGGTGACATTGCATTTTTACTTTCAACTTCACCAGTTCCTCGAAGTGACCTCTTCTCGCACATGGCACAGCAAAGACTTCCTCCTCGGAAACTCAAACATGTCTTCGGACTGTGGGAGGAAACCGGAGAACCTGGGGAGAACCCACGCTGACACGGGGAGGACATGCAAACTCCACACAGATATACATATTTAGTAAGGACAGCCACTTTATAAAGCTTGCGACCTTTATATCTATTAATTTAATATGAATGAACTGATTCAGTCCTCACCATAAAGTACCTGGTGCTCCTTTTAGTGTAGCTTCGATTCTGTATTGTCTTTTTATGTAAATGTGTTTTAAATGTTAGATTTTTCACATGCAAACCAAAGAAAAAAAAAGTGCCTTTTGCATGCAAAAATTAGACAAAGTATAATTATTTTCTATCAGTAGACATTTTAGACCTGTCATAGTAGGAAAAACACAGGTGGAACAAATTGTTCGTGATGGCTCAGTGACCCAGTCAGGGGAGGGAATGGAGCCATCGTTGATGTTATTAGTAAGACCTGTGTCAAGGCAAACCGCATTGCAACTATATGGTTTTGTTCAAAATCACATACTAACATTCTATTCATACTATGATGTAAAATAAAGTATGAGGGGCGTTCCAACTGCATTGTGTGCGGATTTTGTGTATGCGAGAAATGCCTGGATGGACAGCAAGAGTATGAGACGTGAGCTTACTGGACATACTCAACCGCCCCAAAATGCATTGCGGTTGTTCAGACTGTGTGTAATGCCAAACTGATGGGAGTGGGGTGTCAATAGAAAGGCAGGATGTGACAGCATGTGCTTTTCCTGCTATGACAAGTCAAAATGTCTGCTGTGAAAAAAGTCTGAAGCATTTTTCACCGGACACTTAAACCTAATTACAGTAACATGCAACAATTATAATATATGTTTGTGAATCTGATTCTGTGATTCTGATATCCCACCATAGAGTGCCTTGGTAGCTAAGTGTTTACAGCACGTGCCATTGAACCACAACGTCCCAGGTTTAGATATATCACATGTTAACAATGTTTGGCAATTTAGATCTTAACCCAAGATCAACTTTCATTTTTCGGGAGTTTGATGAGTTTCATGGGATTAAAAAATCTCAAAAAATCTAGTAAATTTTCTGTTTCTCAGGTCAAGAAGGAACTTTCATACTAAATCAGAACGTTATAACTAAAATACACATTTTTGTAATCAGAATTAACGAGTGGTCAACATATTCATCGTTTTTAGTGTCTTGTTGAATTTCTGTGGCGTTTGGCTTGTGACATTTCTCTGTTTGCTTATGTTTTCTGCATCTGCACTGCGTTTGTTTATGTTGGTGAATGTGTTTCTGGGTCCATATTTTATTTATTTGCTGCATTTTCTCTCTAAAAGCTGCTATCTGAGCCTAATGTTTCATTTTGAGGACAGACATAATGCTGCTTACCTTGATTAAAAAAAAATGTCAGGATAGTTTGAGAGAGCCTGCTCACCCTCTTACTCAACTTTTTGGATGGATGACGACCCCCTGAGCACGGCCCAATGTCAACATATTGCACCACAAATATTTTTTCTTGCTGCCCTAGATGGCACTGCAGGACTTTGGCAATTTATTCACAATCTTTCAAAGCACCTGATGTTTTTTAGGAATTTAACTTATTTATGTTTGATAAATACCATTTATATTGACAGGGAACTGCTTTAGCAGTTTAGACCACATTATGATAACATTACAGAGATCAAAAATATATATAAATATGTAGCGGTGCACAGAATGACGTCACACAGGCTCAATCTGGTGCTACACATTTAATGAGAATGGTTCTGCAAAATACAAAAATATGCGTTTAGGTATACAGTCGCTTCTCAGCGCTTTCTGCTTCTATCCTGTTCAGAGATTCTCATCCTCTCGCGTATTCCCGCGAGACTTCCCTCTGGCTCTCCGTCACAGACACTGCTTATGTCGCAACACTGACACCTACTGGCGATCCACTGGATCTACTGTCTACAAAGGTAGCTGGTGATAAATAAAGCTGTAGCCCACATTTTAACTACAATGAACACTTCCTCCTCATAAACACAGGAAACATAATAAACTCTCTTAACTTACATTACATCCAAGCAACTATTGTAGTTCCTGAACTACATATGACTTATTCTGCCACAAATATATTATATTCACATGTGTATAGTAGGGTCACTCTGGCTGTGAGACTCCTTAATTTATCCTCCACCCTCCATATATATACATAGGGTGGATGTTTTCTTTCCTATAAAGCAAATTTGGACTACAAACTATATTTCGTTGTGCAACCCTATCGTACAATGACAAATAAAAACCTTGTAACCTTGTTGTAACAAGAAATAAATATTAAATAACAAAACATCAAAAAACAGTACATGCAAAAACATGCATTACTTAAATTATTTACCATGAGGGCTTAAGGGGTGTTGATTGAAGTCTTTCATGATTATTCGCACGGCATCTCTAAATGTATTATGTTACTTTTTTCTGAACACTATCACTACATCTATATATTTTCATACAAACCACCACTTTACCATAACATTATTGATAAAAATGTTTTCGCATGAAACTTCAAAATACTTACCAAGGAGGAACTGCTCCCACCAAAAGGTCTCTCATTATCATTGGCCTCATCAGCTTTGAAGGAGCCCTTGACCCCTGAAGTGCTCTATATAATAAAAATCGTAATTATTTTCTGAAAAATTACTTTTTCATCCTGTTATTGTTCTCGGCTGACGTGACCGACGTTCTGCGGATGACGGCTCACTTGACCGCAGTGACCGTTTTCCCGTTGCTGACCCTGCCTTTTTGGACTTCTCCGCCTTGCCTCTGCCCCGGTAAACGACTCAGCCTTCTGTGCCCGACCAAGAGATTCTGCCTTTGCTTCCTCTGGTTTCTGTCTGCCTTCTCCCTTGATGGCTTGGCCACTAGTCACTGAGTGGATTTCTACACGTGTGCAGATCCAAGACTGTTGGCCTGTTGTATGTTCTGCCTGGAATAAAGTCTCGTTCCAACTATTCCGTGTGTCCGTCGTACTGCGTCTGGGTTCTTACCACACCCATTACAAGTTATGAGTCTATGAGACAGAAAGTTATGAGACTATGAGACAGAAAGTTATGAGACT